TGAAGACAGAAGAACGAAGAATGAACTCTTTTCTTTTAATTAATCAAGGAACTCTATTTTAATAAAGCTAATCCATCAAAGTGTTGGTCAATAATGACCATGTGACCGATCTGTGAAATCACAATGTTATGATTAATGTTTTAATAAGTAAATGACTTATTCTAGCCACTAGACACACTGATACACAAAGATAAATAATCATGACACATTCCTGTCGCAAATCCAATCAGAATCTTCATGTCTGAAGCATGGCAGAGTCTCTGGGGTGTTTGTTTAATCTGCCAGCTGTGATTCGTCCAGAATCATAAACATCAAGATTAATAAAACAGAACAACGCCATTTTAAGTTCAGTATTCAACGAGATCTCGAGATCCCCTGAAGTTCATTGCATGCTAAGTGAAGTATGGACCGGCCATCTATACTTTTCTTTTTAAGCTAGAACTGCCAAGCTGGGAAATCCTGTCGTTATCAACAAAACAACGTTTCCTTCAAAATAAAAGCTGAACTCGCTGACCCAAAGGGGGGTCCCTTTGACACTGTGAAACACCTGTCGCTTTTTACCTGGAGACTAGACTGGTTTGTCGTGCTGTCGACGCTGTTTCATCGGCTCCAGTACCAGAGGAGGGTCCGTGGACCTGGCAGCCTGATCTGTACGGGAGTCTCACTGAAGGGTATGTAGAGCGACACAGATGGCGTCTCATGTTGTTTTATGACCACGGTTCAAACGTTGATCAGTTAGGAGCAAAACATCATCTCCCACTCAGACTCGCTTCTCCGGAACGGAGGTTTTTAACTGACATCGCACCAACACACACTTCACCTCACATTCCATTCCACAAGCATCCATCATTAGAGAGTTAGTACTGTTAAACTGTTTAAAACCATTTAGATAATAAATTTTCTTAAATGTTTGGAAGTCTCTCTCTCTTCTCTTGTCTCTCAGTTCATGCAAAGTGTTTATTTAATTTCCCTGTAATAAAAATAACTACTCTTCTGATTTAAATAGCCCAGTGTCCATTAGATGGGGTCCATACTAGATATGGATCTTTAATGTCCAATGGTCATTAATTAAAATGTAACTCTTTAACCCTTACACATGTGACTGTGCGATTTTCCAAGAAGTGTTCAGGGGCGTAGCAAGTCCTTTGTGACCATTTAACTTCCCAAAACCCCGGTGCTTCCGTGGCACAGCACATCTGTCTTCTGTGTGCCCCAGGCTTTACAAGAACCAAGAAAACCAAGCACATCAGTCTGGTTCTTAAATATCTACACTGGTTACCAGTAAACTAAATAATTGATTTCAAAGGGATCCTGCTAGTTTATAAATCACAGTGGCATGGGGCCAAATTACATGTCAGATCTCCTCCCAGTATATACACCCAACAGGGCTTTGAAACAGTCAAGTGGTAGAAACCCAGGTCACAACCAAACAGGTTGAAGCTGCTTTTAGCTACTATGCTGCATACACATGGAATCAGCTTCCTCTTGAACTCAAATGTGCCACAATTCTAGTAACTTTTAAATCAAAGTGAAGAACTATCAAATATTCATCAGCCTTAGAAAGAATGAATGAATATGATTTGATAAATTTAGATTTTGTGTAATTGGTTTTAGACTGAACCCAGTTTGTTTTTCTGTTCAGTCTCCTGAAAAGGCTCTTGTGAGGACTTCTATGTGTAAACTCAACTGAACTGAATAATCAGTACTGGTGAGCTTCTTCATGGCTCTGCCAGTCTCTTTAATCAAACATCAAGCCAAGGTTATCGCTGATGGTGACACAGATTTCAGTGATTCTTCGAGATGTTTTTGAGTCAAACAGGAGCAATGGTAGATTTGTTAATGTACACTGAATTAGGAGTATTGTTGGTGGGCAGAAAGAAAATTTAACCCTTTATGGCTTCCACTTCACCATCCTGTATCTTAAAATGTGAGATCCTGGATGGAGATTTAAAGAAAACCTGCTAAGATGTTATTTGTGATCTGTTCGTCATCTAACAAGATTTAGTATTTAAGATTTAAATTTAAAAGATTTCTCGTGTGTCTTGTCACAGTAATACATGGCTTTTAAAACCCTATCTTTGCAGAATCTTAAGGCTGTAAAATGCAAATTCACTCACAGATGATAAACTGAACTTTTCACTATGCAGCAAACTTTCTCCTGCCTGGAGAATCCAGTTGTATCCTAAAAGCTTTAATCATTTGTTTAAAAGAAATTAAACCGTCTACTCGAAAAATGTGTTTGTTTAATGAAATAAGCACAGAAAGGAGACTTCAAAGAAAATGTTTTATTGACTTTTTCTTCAGTGTATTTAATTATTGTAAATCATGGTTGACAACAGCAGATACAGTGTGTTATTTTCAGCTGGTAAAATAAGGTTTGAACGACGCTAATCAAAGCAGTCCAAATTATGTTAGAAGCTGCATCATTGATGAATTTTGTTCCTTTTTCACATCCACTACTGAAGTCACCTGCATAACGTGATAATTGTTGGATGTTTTTGTTGCGATTGGTGTTAAATAATATGGCTGCATGTTGGGACAAGGCTCTGTTTTTACTACATAATTAAATAAAATCACGTGATAATTTATTTTCTGTTTGTGATTGAGTTTATTCCATTTTCTCCCTTTTTTTCAAGTCACATACATTTTTATTATTGACTTTTTGTAATATCTTTTCATGTCAAATAATTGATGTAAAGGCTAAAGTATAACTTGTGCAACTCTCCTGTAAACCTTCTCAGTGGACTAGTGGAATGAGAGTCTTGGGACTGGGAGATCAGGGCTCAAATCCAGTCAGTTACCAAAGACTAAAAAGGCCTCTCCCCTTTACACTCAGCTTTAAGGGGTTGGATTAGGGGGTTAAACCACCAAATAGTTCCCGAGTGCAGCCACTGCTGCAGCTCACTGCTCCCCATGGGGATGGGTCAGATACAGAGATGTAAATTCACCAGCGTGTGATGACTAATGGGACTTTGCTTAAGTCAGAAATTGTGGTTCAAGTTTTTCTTAGGATGGTATACTGAGGCTAGGACCCTTCTGTGTGGGAACTGCATGTTCTCCCTCTTGTGTTTTTGTCAGATTTTACATGTTTGCTCATGTGGTCCAAATATTTTAGTTTAACCAGAGTGTGTATGATTGTCCCTGTGTGTTATAGATAAATCATACCAATATATGGGTTTTTCTGTTGTAAAAATCTTTCTAAACAACTTCAGTCTGAAGAAAGGGAGCTGAGTGCTGATGAGATTGATGACCTAACAACCAGTCCAAGTGGGGCTAGGATTGGTGTTTTAGAAACTTTAACACAGGTTTATGACCCTATTACATTGTTATTTATTTACAATTCTGTGGTAACTAGCATTAAGAAATAATCTTTTGTTTTGAGTTTCACCTGCAGGTGGAAACTGAAAATAGTGTTCTACCCCTATTTCCTGCATTAGCGGTTGATAGGAAATAGTTTGGGAAACTTGGATTAGAAAAGCCAGTCAGATCTACGTAATACTGAAAATTAACATTCATGGAGTCACCCATCTTGATTTGTGACAATTTAAAGTCTAGGAGAGGGCACATCTAGCTAACTGTTAGCATTAGCAACCTTCTTCAGACTTGTGTTGTTCATGGAAAAAACAAATATCAACATTGCAGATCGAACAGAGGCAGCAGAACAGTTGCACTGTTGTTAGCCAGTCAGAGGCGAGATGTCACAATATCATGAATAATAATGAGTAAAGCACACTGGAGACAGACGCACGGGGATCACTCCCAGAATCGCAGTGCCGCCGTGGCTGTTTATAACATTGTCGAGTACTTTATAACAAACATTATGACGCGGAATGGCTTTACTACACAAACTCAACCGCAGTTTTGATAACTTTAAAGTAGGGATGCACCGATACTGGTATCGGTATTGGTAAAAGTTAACCGATATCAGGAACTGATACCAATGCATTTGGCTTCACTGTAACTTGGCATTTCTGTTCAGCTAATATTTTAGTTTTGTGATCATCTCTATTAACATATTTTATTTTTTATCTACCTCACAGTCTTTTCCTGTTGAAAGCAGAGAAGAGAATAAAACCTGTATTCTAATTCATTGCAATTTTTTGTGTAGTAGAAGTATCGGTATTGGTAATCGGTATTGGCGAGTACTCAGATCCAAGTATCGGTATAGTATCGGTTTGGAAAAAAGTGGTATTGCTGCATCCCTACTTTAAAGTACTACTGATCTTGAAATATTCTAATAAATAGCATACTTACCCATTTTTAATGAATTTGGGTCTCACAAAACACAAAGGCAAGTATAAACAATGGAGTCACTTCCCGCTTCCTGTTCTCAAGTCCTGCGTGATGTTGAGACTATTGCGTGACTTTCCAAGAAGCGCTCAGCGACAGGTCGTGGCATTTCTTGTGTGAACACTTAACTTCTCAACACCGCGAGCGTGGAGCGGCTGCCACCAGCGTGCCCCAGGTTTAAGACTCCAAATCCTGCTGTTTTCTGCCCAAGTCCTCTGGGTATAACTTCCTGAAACAGGAGCACCAGGGCTTTATTTACTTCAGAAAACAACCCAAAAGGCATTCATTTCTACTAGAGAGCACAGTAAATGCTTAGAAATAAACAAGTGAAGGAGGGCTTTAAAGATGTTTCGGAAATACAGAAATCAACCCACTAAAGCCAGTCGTCCATCTTGTCAGAAGTAATCTGTTTCTCCAAACTGGGATCATTCAAACAGCTGAGATAACATAATAATACATTGCAACAATTCTCAAGAAACTCACTTTAAGTAGATGTCATGATTTTTTGCAAAAGTAGTTGAACGGTTAAAGCAATGAGCTCATAGTATAAATATAATTTGCTAAACATGTCACACACATGATGTTACAAAGAAAAATGACATGCTAATATGTTTAAAATTTGTTTTAAATCTGGTTTGCTTTTGAAATAGTCCAATAACTAAAACTATTATAAGGACTTTCTAATGTAACCATTTTTTATTTCTCTGCAGCACTTTAGATGACGAAAGCACAAACCTCCGACAGCAGAAACTGGACAGACAGGTGAGCCTCAGCTGTTCATCATTCAGAAACAGACAACAGTTCCTTTTTACCATCAAAACATTAATAAGCCAGCTATAAATAAGCATTTATATTAGGGATGTCTGATATTATCTGTCTACTGATGTTATCGACCGATATCGGTCTTAAAATGTAATATCAGAAAATATCTGTATTGGTTTTTACTCCTTAGTGACCAAATGTTTACATACCATATACATATTACCCATCAAAATCTTCGGCTTCATCTGCTCTCTCTCTCAAAATGCCAAAATATGATAAATCTAAGGTTTAGACTTTGAGATACTTTAGTTTTATCTGGCACAACTTGTGAAGGATTAGGAATTTGCCCTATGTTGTGAGGATCTGCTGTTCTTAGAGCACGTAGCTGTGTGTAGCTAGCAGCTAGCAAACAACTAAAACAAACACTAGAATCTTCACCCAAGGCTTGCTTTTCTTAAACTAAGATCTTTATAAATGTTTTATCATCATAACTACAATATGCAGAAACAGAAAAAAATACATTACTGACAATTAGGCGTCTTAGCGTAGAGTGTTTCTATGCTCTTAGCAATTAGCGTAGCTTAGCATGTGTACTCTCACACTGCTTATATTTTGTCAACTACGTAGGGTTGTCACGGTATGAAAATTTAACCTCACGGTTATTGTGACCAAAATTATCACGGTTTTCGGTGTTATCGCGGTATTTTTTAAACGGTGTTGCATATGTTCAGAAAGCATGTCCTGTTCTACACAAACTGAAATAGTTCTGAAAAGGTTTAACAGTGTTTATTAAACCTAAAATAACACAAAGCCTTAGCAAAAGTGCAACTTTTCACAAGTAAAGGAACAAATAGCTTATTTTTCTGGAACATGTTACAGTAGTCAGTGCAGGTTTAAATTATACAAATCCAAACATTCGAAACATAAACAATATGTAAACAAATCAAAGAAACACCACTTGTTTTCTCATATACTTGTTTTCTTCATTATCAAAATGAAAATCTAAAACTCCAGTCCACACTTGACTTGAGCACTGTACAAGTCAACCTTAAAAAAATATGTATTTAAAACAAATAGCCACTTTAAACAAATGACTAAAATAACTACTACACTATGTAATCAAATCCAAATGTTCAAGTATAAATGGCATTGAATAAGTAAACAAATCAATGACAAGGAACTAATTGTATATTTCTCTTCATCAACAAATAAGATGCTTCATCCAGCAACAGGGTGTCCGTTACACGGTTTAAATGCTGGCAGAGGACGCTGCGGCTGCAGTATATAGTGACTCGTTGCATTCTCCCTCAACCAAAAGTCCTCACGTCATGCATTTAAGCTAAAATGCTAATGTTAACTTACCTTGCACTGGCTGTAGAGACGTGGGTGATGGTCACGCAGATGTGCCATTAGATTCGAAGTGTTGCTGCCTTCTGCAGACACTTGTTTCCTGCACGTTCTGCAAACGGGATAGCAGTCTTCTATTAACCGTCCCTCAGCATTTTCAGAAATCCAAAATATGCCCATACTTCCGATTTAGTCTTCTTTGAGGGCTGATGGATGTCCTGGGCGCTGCCGTCTCCTCCTTCGGCCATTATTTCAGCTTCAAAGTTTTGGTGCCGTTGCAAATTAAAAAGTGTGTGTGCGCGCCGCGGGAACTTCAGCTGAAGCGACGGTGGCTGGTAAGGGTCATCGCGCCGAAACCGCGGCCACGGTAAACCCACCGAGATAATATAGTTTTTTAAAAACTGGACGGTTATTTTTATTGTCAACTTTTTTACCGGGGTTTACCGCTATACCGGTTACCGTGACAACCCTACAACTACGTAACTTTAACACACGCCCCAACATTCCCTAAACAAATTGACACTTACAAAGACAAAATTTCTCCAAGGCACGAGCGTATAAAGCTAAACCAGCATGTTCGTGATCCATTTATTCTCTTGTTTTGCCTAAATGTAAATAAAGACATGGATTGGAGGTCCAGCGGACCACTAACTTAAATTGCAGTAGTTGTCATTTTGCACTGATAATGTTTAAACCTTAAACATGCATGAAGATACTGAGATGTGATGTTAGCAACCTAAATTATTACTCTTTTATTAGGGAGGACCCAGCGTATGTCGGTATCAGAAATTAAGAGTTGGACAATATTGGATATCGGTAAAAAAGCCAATATCGAGCATCCCTAAGTTATATACATTTTGTCGCCCTATTTAAGGGTATTCTTAACAATAGGGATGTCCTGATCCGGCTCAGAAATTGGCCCTAATCATGTGGTTTCAGACTTGATCTGGACTTGGGCATTACTTCCCGATCCGGACTCGGATACTGGGTTCTAATTACAGGGGAGCAACTTGGTTCTCCTTAAAGGTTGTCAGGCCCCCCTGAGGCCCTTAACTTACACACCCAGAAGGAGCACAAAAAAGATCCAGTTTCTACCTATATTGTATTATTTATATGGACTCAGCGTAGTGGGGATTCTTTTGAGCAGAGACGCAGAGAGCGGCAGGCAGACTGCTGATTATTCATGAACTCCAGCTGCGTTCTGCACACGGCCACAGTAACATTTTTTAAGTTTCTTAGTGGCGTCACCAAAAAATATATAATTAACACACAGCCATTCGTGTCCGTTCATTTTCTCTCTGGTAAATTCTGTCTGTATTTGAGGATGACGTGTGGACGCGCTTGCGCTGCAGAGCTCGTCACTGGCGCAGCCGGGCAGCACACTCTCCGCTTTTTTTGCGGTCAATAGATCAAATTTGATCTGCTAGTTAAAAAGTTACTTGTGAGGTGAAAAAGAAGGAAGCAGGCAGGAGTTTTTCTTGAGGACTGGGAGATGCAGGAAGATCAGAGACAGACATGAAAGGAAGATAGGAAAATAAAAACCAAGAAAACAAAACAAAGTTCTTAAAAAAATAAAATGTAGGTAGATTCATCCCACTACACGTTTGTACCTGTATAAAGCAATAATTTATCAGCATGTAGTATTTATATAGTTGATACAATTCAGATCATCTTCAAAACTCCGTCCCATGCCCAGGGACTGATCTGATCTAAGCATTTTGGGGGCCGAGGCAAAATAGACCCCTGCCAGGTATTTTAAGTTGAAGTGCTATCTGTTTTTATATTAGACTTTTACAGGGTTTTTCCTGGCTCAAATTGAGGCAGAGGTGGTTCCATCCTGACCATGTGCCAGCACATGCACACTCTGTGCATTCAACTGCCTCACTTTTTTTAAAGCCAAATACGTTATTGTTAAGTGTTCAAATTTAAGCTTCTGTTGATTAATTGAATATTCCATTTGACAATGTTTCAAGTGAAACAAAACTGGTTTGCTGCTGAAAAAAATGAAATAAAACAACAAAATTATCAGGCTGAAATATCAGACTGTTATTATAAAAGGCTCAATAATATGCATTAGATTGGTGTTTAGTTCCCTTTTCCCCATCTGATATTAATAGTTAAAATATTTTTAAATATTTGACCTACATTTCAGTAACATTTTAGGTTTGTATTAATAACACTCATCAGAATAACACATAAATATATCCAGTAAAATATAATGCATTTCATTAACATGCATTTGTATTGGAAATGGTAATAACATTTAATTTCTGCTGCTAACAATGCAATGGTGGCTGGTCTATTGTGTACGGGTTGGCAATAATCCAGTTCAAATTATGTTTAAAGATAGAAGCGTTTGTGAATTATATACTACAACGGCTTGCTGTACATCCTGCGCCAGCAGTAATGTGACTCGTATCTGCAGCAGTTCTGATCCATAGCGCTGCAGGATGCAGAATAAACAGGATGGTGGGGACTTTTCATCTGCTTATAGAGTTTAGTCATTCTTAGTTTTACGATCATCATATATTTTTCTGTGCGCCACTTGATTGTGAGACTGCTACCCGTTAGCTTTAGCATTAGCCAATCTGCGTGTAGCTGCACTTTTGATCCCAAACTTTGGGCCAGTTCTGCCTTTGTGGTTCCTTCATTTTCCTCCATTGCATCCAGATTACCACACTGTGCGTCAGTAAAAATAATTTTTATTACACGTAACTTACTTTTGTTCAATAAAATTCTGGGGGAAATAGTAATTCAAAGATGTTGCACCAGTGCTATGTTTAAAAATAGACAGACACGCACAGACAGTTTTTTTCGTCGCACTTTACAGCTCTGCTCTGATATGGAAGAGCCTGGGGGAAAATCAGGATGTCAATAGCACCAACTATAGATCTGTACCAACCATCCACAGTACCAACTAGCGAGAAAAGCAATCATTGATCTTTTTCTGCAGCGAATTTAGTGCTTTTCGGTGCACCGCTGCTGATACAGCGCCCGTGTAGTGGCGCAACTCTGCAACTGCAGTTAAAATAACATTCAACATTCTGCTGGGGGCAGAGTGAAATCAGGCTGGGGCAGCACAAAATTAGCTGGAGGCGGCCGCCACGCAAATTTGAATGCAGGAAAAACCCTGTTTTGTATTTGCAATAAAGTCCAAAAGTGAAGAATTCATGTTATTTATTTCTTGATTGTTCAAGCTACCTCACAGAAGTGATCTGTTGTTAAAAATTAAAATAAAAAGGTAATTAAATAAAAAATAAGGAACATTCTGGAACTGTTTCTTCCTTTTCTTTCTTTCTTTTTATGTATCGAAAGTATCGGATCGGGACAGTATCGGCAGATTCTCAAAATCAAATGACTTGGACTCTGACTCGAGGGCAATAAAACCTGATTGGGACATCCCTACTTAACAAGATGGATTTTATTCTGAAAACTGAAATGACTTGTAAAACCTAACACCCAGCCCATGTTCTCAGTGGTGTTTCAGAACCTAATAAATATGAAAAACTGTTCATTTTCTAGTATAGCACATGGGCTTGTGTAAAACCAAGAGCCAGTGTAGAATCCCCAAGTCGAAGAAATGTTTGGCAGCTTCACTCTCTAACAAAACTGCTGCTGTTGTCATTTGTTGTCAGAAACGCAGTAAACTGTGTTCTCGGCTGAAGTTCTTCATCTAGGATGGTGACAAGTGCTGTTTCTCGTGTCCTGCAGTGTTTCTTTTGTCTGTAATGTTGGAAGAAATTAATATATTTTCTTTTCTGCAAAGGAATAATGAAATCTCACCTGGTCATGTCCTGTTTAATGTATGGGAAGACATTTAGGTAACCATCTCAGGGTCAGTAAAAACGTGCATTTTTCCTCCCTGCATCACTGCAGCGAGCACTACTCGAGCAGAAACAGAAGAAGAAGAGACAAGAGCCTCTGATGGTCCAGTCCAACGTGGACGGGAGATCTCGGACTCGTCGGACCAAACAGAGCGAGGAACAGGCTCCGCTGGTGGAGTCGTACCTGAGCAGCAACAGCAGCACCATCTACCACGGTAACGAAAACTCGGCTCATTCAGGAAAGTCAAACCTCAACTTTAACGATCAGTTTGGTTGCATTCAGAGTCAGAAATATATCTGGACAGAAGAGATTTTTTTTTTTAACAATTTGCAGTTTTGCTTGCTATTATGGCACCTCCTAGTGTCCATTATTAATTAAGAATGGTTAATCCGAAAATGAAGAATATCTCCTCGCTGTGGTTTAATCTAACTGCTGAAGTGTCTCCTCAGCCTTCATTAGTTTCTAGAGGAGCGGTTCATCAGTAAATTAAAAAAAATCAGCTGTGTAAAACATGCAGGAAACGTGCTGGATGCAGACTGCAGCTTTACCATGTCAGCTCCACTTCACAGCTCCCTCCATCAGTGGAGACTGGACCGGCTACTCTGCAGTTGCAAGTACAGTACCCAGGGCGGGTGAGGGTCTCAGTGGAGGACATTCCATAGTATCCCTTTAAATGTTTGGAGCTCATGAGTTGAGCTTTTCAACCACTAATTATTTTAGAAAAATTATTTACCCATTTTTGTTTAATAAAACATATACAACTTAAACTGTAAGACTATTTAAACTGGGCGAGGAATTGGAAGTATGAACCTCGCATGACTGCAAAAGTCCTTTTGGAAAGGATTAAACTACAGATTAAGACGACTCTTGTTGGGATTTGGCGCTATATAAGTAAACTGAATAGATAGGACCCAAAACATTTCTGCATTATTCAGCATCAAAATAATATTAAAAAAGTGTCTAAAGACAAAAACTATAATGTGGTCTGATATAAATTTGGTCCTACCTCAAGTGGAGGAGTTTAAGTATCTCGGGGACTTGTTCACGAGTGAGGGTAGGAGGGATCGGGAGATCGACAGGTGGATTGGTTCAGCATCTGCAGTGATGCGGACGCTGAGCCGATCTGTCGTGGTGAAGAGGGAGCTGAGCCAGAAAGCCAGACTCTCGATTTACCGGTCGATCTACGTCCCAGTCCTCACCTATGGTCATGGTCTTTGGGTAATGACCAAAAGAACGAGATCACGGATACAAGCGGCCGAAATGAGTTTCCTCCGTGGGGTGGCCAGGCTCAGCCTTAGAGATAGGGTGAGGAGCTCAGACATTCGGGAGGGACTCGGAGTAGAACCACTGCTCCTCCGTATCGAAAGGAGTCAGTTGAGGTGGTTTGGGCATCTGGTCAGGATGCCTCCTGGACGCCTCCCCGGGGAGGTGTTTCGGGCATGTCCTGCCGGTAGGAGCCCCCCGGGTCGACCCAGGACACGTTGGAGAGGATACATATTCAATCTGGTCCGGGAACGCCTTGGGGTCCTGCTGGAGGAGCTGGCGGAGGTGGGCGGGAAGAGGACGGTCTGGAGCTCCCTAGTTGGGATGCTGCCCCCGCGACCCAGACCCGGATAAGCGGAGGAAGACGACGACGAGGATATAAATTTAACCATTCTAACTAGCACTTTTTGACATAAGTGTTCATTAATTGTACATGCTTATGGCTTTATAAGAGGACCCTCATGAAAACGAGATGGCACATCTCATGGAGTTACTCCTCTTTAAATAAATAGATAAATACATGAATTTGAAAAGAAAAGCATTTTGGGGGAAGCAAGAGAGTTATGCGGTGTCACAGTGTTGCAGCCAGTGGCAAGGCTGGCTGAACATTGCACTGTTGAAAGTGAACTCATGGTAAAAAGCAAGTTTGTGAAACAAACATCCAAAAAAATCAGTAATGTTTGTCAGGATAGGGAGCCCAAACTTTAGTTTTTAGCTTTTTGTTAGTTAAGTTTGAAAGTAAAAATAAACTGAATAAAATGTACTAAATGTGTCAGCTGTAACTTTGAATGATGCAGATTTCATCTGGATGTATCAGGTTGCATTTTAAAATCGTTTTCATCATTAACACTCATTTTAACTGTTGTCGCCAAACTGTTTTACATTCTAGTGTTTGGGTGTGTCCATGAATGCTAAGTGACAGTGTGATGTAGATCTGCCAGGATTTTCTAATCCTAGCGTTTCTCCGTCTGTTTTCTATCAGAAGCTAATGCAGAAGATGGGTGTAGGAGATTATTTTCATGCTCAGCCTGCGTGAAAAACTCAGTGATAGATTATAATCATTTAAAAAATGTTTTTTTAGTGTTCCACATCTTTAAGTGGACAGAAATATTTTGTCAACCTTCTTCTTTTTCCTTAAACAGCAAACAAGTCTATTCATGGCCCTAGGCACAGAAACTATAGGCACAAAGGGGACTTCATCAACCCCCAACCTAACACAATTTTGGCTTTAAATGTGCAGGCAATAGTGTATTGGAGCCAACGGTGAAGGCTTTTGTTGGTTTAGTGTCCAGGAATCCACAGAGAATAACTCCACCAGTAGAAGCTAACTGTTAGCATTAGCAACTCCACCACATAGCAGAACTCCTCCAGACTTGTGCTATTTAGAGAGAGAGAGAGAGAGAGAGAGAGAGAGAGAGAGAGAGAGAGAGAGAGAGAGAGAGAGAGAGAGCTATGAATGAACATGTTTGTTTTTGAAACAGTGAATTTGGTTCAAAATTTTTTTTATTATTACCTAAGAACAGAAATAATTCGAGAGAATCGAGGCTACCAAAGAAGTGGAAAAGTTACCTAAAGCTTTATTCGCCTTTCTGTCACACTTATTTTAATCCTCCATTTGCATGAGCTGCTGTTTTCTGCATCTCTTTGTTTAGTGCAAGAGGCTGAACGTGAGGAGGTGAAGATGACATCGGACGCTCATCTGCCTCGTTCGGCCAAAAAGGGTAAAGCATCGGCCAGCTCCACACCACAGACAAGCAGCGAAAAGAAGGAGAGGAAGGGGAAACACAAAGGTTACACACACACACACACACACACACACACACACACACACACACACACACACACACACACACACACACACACATTACAACATGGAAGAAAGGATAAAATCTCATTATAATCCAGCTGCTGCAACCCTTCTTTGTTAGCCTCACATGGTGTTTTGCTCGCTGTTTTTTAAGCCACATCTGGCAGCCGACCCTACTTTTAAGCTGCTTTTTGCTGCAGTGCTGCTGAGTGATAGCCTAGTGAACTAGACCAAATTCTTGCTTTGCAAAGATTTATTTAGTCTGGTTTGCCAGGCTAGCTGAGTGACACAGGACAAGACAGCCGGATGCTACAGACTGAGACATAGAATGTAACATAAGAGGGAAACATGATGTCATAAATTAGAATTTTAATCACAATATACTTTTGTGATTAATTATGTACATTCTAGTTACTTTAGCATTCTCAAAAACATGCATGTTGCAGGAAGGTTGTGCGGAGTAGTGATTCAATTCAATTCAGTTTATTTATATAGCACCAAATCACGACAAGTCATCTCAAGGCGCTTCAGAACGTAAACGTTCAGTTCAGTTAATTAAGTCAATCAGTAAAAAGTTTCCTATATAAGGAACCCAGCAAATTGCATCAAGTCACTGACTGGTGTCAGAGTCTTTACAGCAATCCTCATACTAAGCAAGCATGTAGCGACAGTGGAAAGGAAAACTGCCTTTTAACAGGAAGAAACCTCCAGAGGATCCTGGCTCAGTATAAGCAGCCATCCGCTAGGGGTCGCATGACTTAATTTTTTTAAAGTCGACAGTCAAGTAATGAAAATCGAGTTGACATTGACTAGTCGTTGATGACGTCATACACCTGAAGCGCGCGGGTGGGTGGGTGGGTGGGGGGTCGAGGTCGTTGATTCGCTGGAGTTTTTGACAATTAAAATTACGCCCACATTTTCAAAGTTAAACACATCTCTTTTAACAACGGTAGTTTCTGCATCTATATACTGTTCCTGCTTCAGCCCTCCCCCCCTCCCCCTGCGCAGCGGCCGCAAACTCACTGATGCGCCTGCAGCCTCTCAGAGTTCCTGCTGCTCTAAACATTAAAATAATTATTTCATTTTCTGTTCCTCACTTCTGATTACCTTCAATGGTGTCTGTTTGTTGCAACCACCAGGTACAAAAACAAACTTGTTTTTATTTGACTATTTTTCTGTCCTGCCTGTTTATTATCTTCCTTCATCTCCTCTCAGTCCTAAAGAAAAACTGCTACCTGGGTTCATATATATTCATCTCATGAGTTACCTTTGAACTACAGTTCTAAAAGATCTACCGACTGCAAAAACAGCGGAGTGAGCGCTGCTTGCCGGCCACATCAGTTAGGTGCGTCACCAGAGGACAAAACAGGTGATGTGCCCCGCTCCACAGCAGCGAAATGCGTCAGGCACAAATTAAAGACAGAAAACATAAAAGGAAATGAGCCGACATGAACAATCACGTGTTATATTTGTTTTTGAGGTGGCGACACCTAATTTGATAATGTTACTGTGGCCGTGCTCAGGACGCAGATGTCTGGAGTGCGTCAACAATCAGAGCTTTGCATGCACACTCTGGTTAAGGTTAGGATGGGGGTGAGGGGAAGGTTAAATTGAGAGGGTAAAGGTCACAATTTGGTTAAATGTCCGTTTTACGGCGGGTGTCAGTACCGACGCTCTGGCACAGCGCGTCGCCTCCGCCTCCCAACGCGCAGGGGCTCATCACCTGCCGTCTTTTCCGAGGACTGCATCTTGTTGGTCATTATCACGTGACAGCAACTAGTCAATGACAGGCATAAAAAGTCACTACAGAGCAGTGAAGTCGACTAGTCGACTAGTTCATACAACCCCGACCATCCGCCATGACTCACTGGGGATTGAAAAGACAGAGCAGACACACACACACACACACACACACACACACACACACACACACACACACACACACACACACACACACACACACACACACACACACAACATATATAAGTGGTGTTTCTATGGTCACATTGTGATTTCTATGTAGATATTCTATTTGGTGAGAGATAAACTTTATAGTAGTTATCCTAGTGAATCTATAATTAAACAGGTAAACTAGTAGTAGCACATTCAATGTCAAAGAAAGTAAAGTGTTATTATCAGGAGAGGGAGAATGTTTAAGTTGTTAGCAACAGTGTTCAAGCCGATGGCCCTCCATGAGGCCACCACAGCTTAGCAGAACACCAATGTAGCTTCTTCTGGGGAGAAAATCACTTAGAGAAAAAAGTAAAGTTAACAGCTGAAATTGCAGGAAAAAATACAGTTAAAGAGCAAATTGTAGAAGAAAATAGTAGAGTGTGGAAAGTGGTCAGAAAGTCCTCCAGCAGTCTAAGCCTATAGCAGCATAACTACAGAGATAACTCTGGATAACCTAGCCTTTTTAGATGGAGGCATGTTGGAGGCAGGGCAAGGGAGAGCCGTCAAGTGCCTTAAAAATCAACCGGGTTAGAAGATTATACAGGTGGCACTCAAAATATTAGAATATGGTGCAAACGTTTATTTATGTCAGTAATTCTACTTAAAAGGTGAAACCAATATATGAGACAGACTCATGAGATGGAACACCAGATATTTCAAGCCTTTATAAGTGTGATGATCATGGCTTACAGCTTATGAAAACCTATGATAAAAGCGCCAAATTTCAAAATCTCAGACTATTTGAATATTATGAAAATGTCCAATAGTCTAGACTCAAAGTGTCGCACTTGAATCAGCTAATGAATCCAAAACACCTGCAAAGGGTTCCTGAGCCTTTAGATGGTCTCTCAGTCTGAGCTGAGTCAGTGAAATAAAAGGACTTTTGTACAGTATCATGAAAAAAGCTGCAGTGGGTGTTCATGACTTGGCTGCGGTGACCAAACTTCATCAGTGCACTCCCTAAATCACCGTTGCTCCATCTTGCTGAACCACACCGCCGCCATCAAGGAAAAGTCTTTCCGTCGATGTTGTAGGAGACAACTGCATTTTTGGTTCTTTTTTAAAACACAGAAAAGGTTTCTTTTTACCTTGCTGGCAGTTTCATTTACCGGCTGTAAACTTCCTCAGAGCTGACGCTGATGGTGGCGTCACTTCCCACTCTGTTTATCCGCGGGCAGCAGAGGACGTTGTCTCCCTCTGCTGCCCGCTCTCTCCTCACCGATGATGCAGTCCCATGCACGATCCAATGTGTAAACTCCATCGTCTCTGTTCATGGTCCCGCATCCACGTCTCCTAATCTCTGTGGCTCTATGTCACTAAAAGAAAAAGGCAAAATAACAGAAAAAATGTACAAACACTGGATTCCTACAGCAAACTTAAAACCAAGAATCTACAGAACTCCAAAAATACACAAAACACCCCACTTAGACCAATAGTAGACAGCATAGGTACACCAACATACAACATGGCAAATGAAATAAGCAAAATCATCAGTCCGTAATCAGGTAACACAGATCAACACTGCAAAAACAGCGCAGAACTGGCAAAAGAACTAAAAAAGATTACAATAGAAGATAACGACAAACTCATCTCACATGGCGTCACGTCTCTGTTCACAAAAACACCAACCCAAAAAACCATAAACATGGTAGTTAACAGGATCAGACAGGACAAAACTTTACACAAAAGAACAAACCTCACAGCAGATGACATAGCACAACTGATTTGACTGGTAGCTAACTCCACTTACTTCACATACGATGACACAATATACAAACAACTGGAAGGCTTCTCCATGGGTAACCCGTTATCAGCCACCCTGTGCGAGTTTTTCATGGAAGACCTGGAACAAAAAAGCCATAGCCACTGACCCCCCCACCCCCCCACCCCCCAAGCTGCAAAAGAAAATTATGGAAACGCTACGTAGATGACATACTGGAAATCATACCAAAAGGACAAACAGAAACACTAACACAACACTTGAATAACATTGACGACACAGGCAACATAAAGTTCACATATGAGTCAGAAACAGAAGGCAGTATAGCATTTATGGATATGAAAATAAGCAGGCAGACCGATGGGAACCTAAACATAAACACATTTAAGAAACCAACACACACAGACCAATATTTATTATGGACATCAGAACACCCCACCATACACAAAATGTCAGTAATCAGAACATTATATCACAAAGTAAACATAATAACAGAAGAAAGAGACCGTAAACAAGAGGACAACCACATACAACACGCTTTAAAGACCTGTGGATACCCGACATGGGGGATAAACAAAGAAAAATAAACAAAAAATCGTCGATCGCGCATGGGACTGTGTCATCGGTGAAGGGAGAGCGGACAGCAGAGGGAGACAACGTCCTCTGCTGCCCGCAGATAAACAGAGAAGGAAGTGACGCCACCATCAGTGTCAGCTCTGAGGAAGTTTACAGCCGGTAAATGAAACTGCCAGCAAAGTAAAAAGAAACATTTTCTGTGTTTTAAAACATAACCAAAAATGCAGTTAGAAACTAAACACGGCAAGAACATACCAAAGATGTTTTAGGAGACAGACGTCTCGTTCTGCATAGACAGGATATGTGTTGTTGAACAGACCTCTGACTGACTTTGTTCTTGCGGGCTGGTGGATCAGCAGCAGTAGACGGCCCGGCTACTCAGCAGGACGATGGTCAGATCCAGATCCTGACCGTGGGTCATCCCACCACAGAGGAGAGGGAGACAGAACCAGTCATGAGCTGCACCCAGTCGCAGAGCAAACAGGATCTGCGCATCACCATGCTAAAGAAAGGTACCGCGTTTAACACTAGTCCTTATTCAGACCCTCAGTCACAGGTTTTCATCACTCGCTCAAGTCTTCAAAAAGATGTGCCTTTTTAAAACCTACCAATGTTCAGATTTTTTTAAATAAATAAAAAGTAGCACATTTCTATTCCATTTCATTCTTTTCTGAAGATGGACAGTATAAATAAACTGTACAGTGTTTTACTTTGATTTTGCAACATATGCAGAGTCTTAAATGTTTCATGATGTTTGCATTCAAAATCTCAATTAATGTCTGTTATTGGGCCTACTAATTGGATTCACTTAAATAACGTTCCTGCTTTCTCCTAAACAAGAGATGTGTTGTGTGCCTCAGAATATTCCTCATTAGATAATAGTTGCGTAATTTAGTTTTATTCATGACAAAAGGGGGAAAAGATGTGCGGCTCCATTTAGGTGTATAGAACGGCTTTGAATTGTGCAATTAGGAGCTCTGAGTTTCTCCCCAAACGTGTGACACGAGTTGGTTTTGAACAGTGAAAAACGGCATTAACGGTGACTTTTAAATCTGTCTGATGCTAATTAATATTTTTCTTCACCTCTCCAGTTCAGTTTTTTTCTCATCTGTCTGTCACACACTTCCCCTCATTATGAAAAAGGTGCAAAAAAGGCTCAGCCAGAATCCTATTTTTGACGTGATAATAATATTATGAAACTAAAAATGTTGGACTACCAACCTTAAAGTGACAGTGTGTAGTTTCCCTGGCGATAGGGGGCAGTAGCTACCTAAATGATTGTCATTTTAAGAACTTTTTGAATTAAAAAAAAAAAAAATATATATATATATATATATATATATATATATATATATATATAAATTTAACATTTAGACAAATGGGTTTTGTTGGTGGCCACATTTCAATTGAAGACATTTCATTTATTTTGTTCTTGTTTGTTTTCTCTAAAGGTATATCCAGCAGTATGAATTTTGATGAAGAAGAGGATGACGAAGACGAAGTCAGCTCCAGTTCGTCACAGCTCAACAACAACACAAGACCCGGCTCTGCCACCAGCAAGAAGTCATGCAAGGTAGAAAGGAGATTTTCACCGCTTGTTAATCTACCCGGCAACAAGGACCAACACCTTACTAAGCCTCAGTTATTTTATATATATACTTGCTTTATGAAGAAAGTGAATGTGATTTAATAAGGGGTCAGGGTTGTGGTGCCAACAATTTTCCAGGGGTGGCCATGGCCTCCCTAGTCACCCCTTGGGAGCACCACTGGTAATAGTAAGATGAACTTGACTTAAATCATTTTTCTCAGCTTTTTCATACCACCAAATAATTGAAAGCTGAATAATGAATCATTTTGTGTAATGTAATTGAAATGATGTTCCTCTGGATGTATTATTTAACACTTATGTTAACTAACAAAGCCGTAACGGTTTGTTTAATTCTGACAAGAACAGAAAATGAGCAAAATTTTCTGAAACACTTTTTTGAATTTCGCAATGTCACAAGTGATCCTCTTTGTTCCTCTAATCATTCCCTTTAGTCTTTTACCCCTCAACAAGTCCTTATTTTAGACACTGTGCTCATTTCCAGTCCCAGTGGACAGCTCTGTCTTCAGTCTCATTACGCTGTTTCACCCAGTTTTATTGGCACCGCCTCAGTCCCCAGGACACCATTTCACTCCTCTCTCTCTTGCAGGACGTTGCCTCAGCACCAACTCCACCTGTGAGCGAACCCGCGGTCGATGTTGAGGATTTGGAGGAGTTTTCCCTGCGACCGGCACCGCAGGGGGTCAGAGTGAAATGCAGGATCACCAGGGACAAGAAGGGCATGGACAGAGGAATGTACCCCACCTACTACCTTCACCTGGAGAGGGAAGATGGCAAGAAGGTGCGAGATCTCCAAGAGGTGTTTAATGATGGGTTTGTGTTTAGACTTTATTAACCTTGTACCTGGCTTGGTTTGAATCAGGTTTTCCTGTTGGCTGGCAGGAAGAGGAAAAAAAGTAAAACATCCAATTACCTCATCTCCATCGACCCCACTGATCTGTCTCGTGATGGAGAGAGTTTCATCGGTAAACTGAGGTAAGTTGTTAAAAGCATCAGTTGACTTCATGAGACATTTAGAACTAGTAATTGATTATTTCATACATTAGAGTTGACTTGGCAGGGGCATGCGTGAAATATTTCTCTTCTCAGCTCAAGAAAGGCATTAAAATTAGTGAAGTGAAATTCACGAATGAATCTAATCCCAGAGACATTAAATTCATGGATACTGATTGGCCCAAAATTCTCCAGTTCTCCCTAGCAACCAAATATGATTGGCTGTTTAGCTGCAGTTCAGAGGTGCTGTTTCCAGCGCCCCAGGGGTGAAACTAGTGAGTCTGGTGGAGGAAATTCCCTGTGAGACAATTGGAGAAAGTGGGTAACTGTATGTAAGCACACACATTATGCAAATCTGACACATTCATACTAAATATGTTGTAGTTTTATTTACTTTTAGATTTTATTTTCTCATTTCAAGTCAGGTAGGGGGGTGCCCCAGTCCTATGGACAAGCCATGCTTGTGAGGATATTTTATAAGCTAGTCACCTTTTAATTGAAGTCATTTAGTCTCTGAATCAGTCGTCTATTTTTCATGTTTCATATCCATTAATAAACTCATCCCTCAGTGTTTTATGTGTTCTGTGATCTGCTCGATAAATATATTTAAATGTTGAATGCAGAAGATTATTAAGGAAAGAAGGGAGTAGTAAGCTAATCCTCAGGGAGAACCTGAATGCAGCGCCAGCAGCTCCATGGAAACTGTAAATCAAACGTGGCTCTGCGGAGCTTTTTAATCTTCAAAGCTGGCCTGAGTGCCCGTCAGCGTGCTGCTCAGACCTCTGCAGGTACAACCCTGCATGAATGATAAAGATCTATATTTGAACACTTATCCTTCAGCTAGTGCTTCTGAAGAGGCCTCCAGGAGATTGACCTATATCAGGCATTGCTTCTAAAAGAGTCGTACAACTTATATATATATATATATATATATATATATATATATATATATATATATATATATATATATATATATATATATATATATATATATATAGTGAAAAGTTAAAAAAAATTTAAAGTAGAAGTTAACCCTGAACACTGCCTTTTGTTTGCACTGATATGTCCATCTGTGTAAAATTGAGAAACATACTAGATTAACCATCATATTTTTTACATATAAATCAACAAAAAAAATATGCAAAAATTAATTTTTGTGTTTGACCTTTAATGTCGTGCTGTGAAAAAAAAAAGTATTTTCCAGTGTTTGACCCTCAAGGGCAGCTATGCTGCATGTTTTAGATGTTTTTTTTTCTGCTTCAGCTCATCTGGATTAAACGAGTGTTTGATCAAAAGGCCTCTGAAGAAATCATTGAGGAGGTGATTCAGTCATTTGAATTCGGTTTGTGGAAGCTAATGCTTGCTGGAGAGTGACCCCTTAGGACTGTTTTTGGATTTGCAGCTGAAGATGCTTGTTGTTGATCTCCTTTTCTGTTTATTTAGCATGACGGTAATTATTCTAATAAAATCATACCAAAATGTGTTCTTTTTAACTCAACTCAACTCAGCCTTTATTTATAAAGCACCTTAAAGGCATGCCACCAAGATGCTGTACATTAAAAAAACAAAACATAAAGCCAACAGACACAATTAAAACCAACAAGTTAAAATTACAAGGTAAGAGCATATTAATGGTATATATTGAAATGCTCTAAACTACAAAAGATTTCCCGATCTGAGCTCAGCATATTCACAAAACAGCATCTCTGTAAATTCAAGAAGGAATCTTATAAAATTTGAAAGACTGATTAAAATAAGGAAAAATGTCATGTAACATTTCAACACTAGGGGGTGCAGAATTACCATTCTTTTGCCTCACACAATTTAACCCAACGGACCAGGTACCAGGTCCATGAGCACTTCCAGCAAAAAAAAATGCTTCAAAAACATTCATAATATTCACCAATGAATGCAAACCGCACACGTACTTAACAGGAAGAGGCGTGTCCAAACCAGTGGTTTTCAACCTTTTTTGACTCATGGACCCCCTGAGCCATTTTCTCGTACCACGAGTACCCCCTTAGTCAAACGTGTTGATGATTCCCCCAAAGTAGAACGTACAACGGATCATGGACGTCACTAGGATTGAGATATAGGGGGGGCTTAGCCCCAGGAGCTTGACCTCGAACGTTTTTTGTCACACCCTGCAAAAACTTTGTCAATTAATTCATTATCTGAAGAAAATCTAACAAAACCTATTATTTTATCACTTTCCTTTCCTTTCCTACTTTTGTGCATTTTCTCTCTTCTTTTTATAAAAAATAACACTTAATCAGTTAATTAGTGGGGTCTATGTTGAAGAAAGATTTTATGTAAGTCCATTAAAAATTTGATATGTTATATTTCCAAATAAAGCTATTCATTTCAGTCTACTGCACTTAACAGGGGGAAATGTTGTAGTCATTTATTTAATTTGTTTAATTACAACTTGTTTAATTATAAATGTTACTTAAATGTGACAATAAAGAACAAATTAATAATTGTCAAACTTTTATTCTGCCAAATGAGTGTGCAGTTGACAGTTTTAATATATGAATAACACTGCTATGATATGGAATAAAGGAGTATATAATTAACAATTACAAAATACAAAATAACAGTATATATGAAAATATCCAGCAAGTAGTAGAACTTATAATACAGAAAGTCAACTATACAGATACAACTTGACATAAGGTTGCAGGTCACATGATATTATAGTTTTTTTCTCAAGTTCTCTTACCTGTTCACTCCTAAATAGAAAACTGTTCAATTTTGCTTGGGAACTTTGTGCTCAGTTAAATGCTCATAACGATGCGCTCACCCCTGTTTTCGCTGTAGATCACTGACCTTGACCATGCAGATCTCCTCAGCATCAACCACCTGGTCTCTCTCCTGTTCCTCACTCACTCTCTTAAAAAAATCTTCGTATATCCATCTAGCCAACACATTGAAAAACATTTTCAATTTCTAATGCCAAGACAAATGCTACTAAGCCATTTAGTTTTCACTCACAATAACTGAAACAGCCATTGGTGATAGATGGTACAGAATATGGACAACTGTTAGCCTAATATAGCCTATGTTTGGTTGCTCATGATGATGGCATTTTCCATAATGTCACATTAAGCTGCCAAAATTTATGTTAAAGTTAGATGAGTACAATATCTCCTTTCTTTACCATAGGTAAACATAGGAAATATTAAGCAATTGACAACCCACATGGAAAGAATTCATATAAACATATAGGTTTTAATATATGTTTTGATGTAGCTTTTGAATACATGTGACATTATAAAACTGGCTGTTTACTATATTATAGATACATATATGTACCTATAATATAATATATATATTATAGAAAAAATATATAATATAGAAAAATTGTCAATAATATACACATTCGGCCATATTCTGATTCAGGTTTTTAGTGTGGAGTGATTTTAGTGCCACCAACTGGAGCGTGCAGTGATCAATCTGCAAGAGTAACACCTGCTCTGCAGTCATATGCGGCCCTCTCTCTGCATGCTCAACTCCGTCTCTGCCTGCACAAATCTCCCTGTTGTTGCTCAATTTGCAATTTACAAAGCAATGTAGCCTCTTTGTCAGCCAATCAGACAGCTCTCCATTATGCAATCAAAGCATGTCCAGGAAATACTGTCAGGAAAATTGCACTTTTTTCAGATAAAGAGGACTTTATATAATTATATTTAATTAGGTTGATTAACCCTTCTCTTTTCCTGGGACATTTCCACTGTTCACTTCCTTTTACACATCAAGGGATCATTCATGTCTAACCAAACAGAGAAGAAACACTTTATATGTTGAAATTAAAAGTCCTCTTTAACTGAAAATAGTGCAATTTAACAGTTTTAGGAATGGGCAATGTGTCTTTTCTGGAAGTCAAATATGGTCACTCTAATCATGACACATGAATTACAACAAAGTATCTTGCAGGCAGTGGATGGTGACTGGTAGCTAACCAGCAGCAGAAAGCAGTTCAATTAGCTGTTAAATGGGTGTTTTTCTGTAAAGCAGTATTTCCTGGACATGCTTTGATTGGATAAAACAGAGCTGTCTGTGATTGACTGTTGGAGAGGCTGAAGCCCCCCTAAAACGGACCTAACGACGTCAGCGCAACTGATTGTTAAATGAAAATAATTTCATTAAACATCCTTAATGCGGAACCACGTTTCACTTCCTGTCTGGCTCAATCCTCATGCAGGATCCAGACTCCTTGTGGAAACTTTCTGGAGTTCTGCATCCACACCACAGCTGGTGTAAATGCTCCAATTGGACTCAACGAATTCTGATCCATGTGAAACTGGACCGTATCCATTCTGCATGTCGTTAAGGCTTCAGGCCCTCTCTCAGTAGCAGCCGCAGCCCTGCTCTGGTTTTTTCTTCATGTAATGTTTCTTAACCCTGATCCTCAGCTTCCCCCATCCTACAGGTTTTAGGTGTTTCCCTGATGCCACACACTGATCTAGATGAATGAGTGATTAACAGGTGTCTGCAGCAATTGATGTCACCCTGAGAAGGCAATGCAAATATATAAATCAGGTGGGCTGAAGTAGAGACATGGAAAACATGCATGACAGGAGGGTCTTGATAAAAGCTGGTTTATATTTTATTTGAGTAGGAATGGGCCATATGGTCTAAAATCTATGACATTATATTGTTTATTTATGCCAAAATGACATTTTACACTGTCACATACCAGATGAATTGCAGCAGAACAAATATTTCTAAAAACTATTAAAGAATTTTAACATTTAAAGCTTATTTGAAAAACTACAAAAAATTTCAGGTAGTGTTTTATGTTGTGTTATGATTTATTCTCCAGCAAAGCAACACAAAAATCCTCATGAAATGAATAAGATGAGGATAATGCCAATGACAATTAGTTGCTAAATGAAAAGCAAAACAAAGCAGAAAACTTATTAAATGTCACTCTAAATGAATTAGTCATTTGACCAATTCATTTAGAGTGACATTTAATAAGTTTTCTGCTTCTACACCATACTGGATGAAAGCTGGAGCATGTCCTAAACTTGTATGATTTAGATTATTATAATGTTATAATAATCTGAATCATACAAGTTTAGGACAGCTCCTTTGGTTTTTTTCTTGCTTTGCACACAGCGTAACGTTTTTACCTTGAATTGCTACGCTGATTATTAAGCAAGATACAACCAATGGAGATTGAAAAGAAACATAAAAAGAAGATAACAACAAGTTTAGGACTTAATCATATCATGTTAACCAAGTTGTAATGAACAGGAAGCATCTAAAACTTGTAAACCATGAAATCGTCTTTTAAGTAAAATGCTTTTCTTAATTAATAACATTTTTTTTTTTTGTATGTTTTTTGGCAGGTCAAACCTGATGGGAACCAAGTTCACCGTGTACGATAATGGTCTAAATCCCGTAAAGAGCACCTCCAGCCTTGAAGCTAGCAACCTGCGTCAAGAGCTAGCCGCCATTTGCTATGTGAGTGTGACTGTATTTAAAATCTTTAATGATAAAAAGATGAAAATCGTGCCAAAATAGTTCTAAATAGCTGTAAAAATGTATTTATGTGCATTTTTTTAGATATATGATCAAATCAAGATATTACGATTATAGGAATAAGCATCAAAATTGTTGCATGTAGAGATTTTTGCTCTAAACCCAGATTCCAATTGACTGCGTTACTCCAGTGGAAAAATATCCATCCAGAAATCACAACTACTGCTTATTTAGGCTGAAATCATATTTCTGTTGAGAATTGTGTATTATTTTTGAGTTATAAATATTTCACAGTGTTTAATTCTTTGTTTCAGTGAACGTAATAATCATCTTTGTACATTTTCTTGCTTATATCACTGGTGTTTAAATGGATTCTATTTGAAAGGTATGTTAGACAGATTTGGAGTGAACACACTTGGATAAACAAGCATTTTATCACTTTGCCATTCTATGGATTTAGGAAACCAACGTCTTAGGATTCAAGGGGCCTCGCAAAATGAGTGTCATCATTCCCGGGATGAACATGGACCACGAAAGAGTGTCCATTCGGCCCCGGAACGTAAGTTTTACGTCATTCCTCTGTGGCTTCATCAATGTTGACTGATTCGCCTCTCTGCCTTTTCTGCCGTTTGATTGATCCGATAACGAGGACATCCACGCCTAAAGCTGCTCGATTGCTTTTCATTACAGGAGCATGAGTCACTGCTGGCCAGGTGGCAGAACAAGAACACAGAAAGTGTGATTGAACTTCACAACAAGACGCCCGTGTGGAACGATGACACGCAGTCTTACGTGTTAAACTTCCATGGCAGAGTTACGCAGGCGTCTGTTAAGAATTTTCAAATTATTCACGACAACGACCGTAAGTTTCATGTGCCCAAAGTACTTTTGTTAGGTTTGATTTAGAAAACTTGAAAGAACAGATACAAGTGTGACACATGTTCTTAAATATTAGTCAGAAAAAGCAGTGGTTAATAAATCACTGGACACCTCTCCGCAATAATAACCACAATCTTTCTGATCAGCGCAATGCGGAACGACTAAAGGAAAACGTGTTCGCGTCTAAAGGGAAGTTTGCACAAATCATGTCTTTAATTTAGCTTGAAGCAAAAGAAAAATTAGGTTTTTCACTATTTCTTAGACTTCTACCTCAGCAACAGTATTTCTACTTTTCTAAATATTTACGGTGTCATCCTATCCGTGTGTTCTACCTTTATGTGGAGGATTTGAGTATAAGTGGTAGCAAGGGTCAATTGCATTGTTTGTAACACTTTACAATAAGGGTCCCTTTATTAATGCCTTAGTAGTGCATAAATAACCACTTAAGAAAAATATTAACAACTGCTTAACCATATTATGAAGCAGACACCCGGGCCTTTAATCCTAATCTTAAGGACAGTTAATAGTTAACAATATTGGGTATGTTAATAAAATGATCCTGTGCTTTTTAATGCTTAATAATGCATTAAAGAGACAATGTGTAGTTTTTACCAAAATTTTCTGGAAAAATCCATCAACATTTTGTTGAAAATGAAAGAAATGATGCCCAGTTGTTAAAAAATATTGGCAGCTTTGTAACGTACAACCATAAAAATCAGGTCTAAAATACATGGGAGCGGTCTAGGCGTCTGGGCGACGCCATATTAGATGCTATGTTTCGTTCTGCAGGAGCCCATGAGGACAAAAGGCATTACTGGTTTGTAACAAACGGTTACAAAACTTTTGCCATTCTTAAATGTTGTTTTACACATTTACCTCTTCACTTGTTGCCAGTGATGAAAATGAGTCTGATGTGCTTGTTATTTTGCTAAAGTTTGCACTCCCCAGGGCTTTTTGACCCTAATGGACATCTGTTGGTAAGGTCTTACTCCAACACAAAAATACAGCTTGCTTGCAACGATTTAGGTATCTACTGCCTCCAATCGCCAGGAAAAGTACACGTTTGTTAATGCTTAATAATGCACCAAGTAATGTTAATAAAGATACCCTTATTTTTAAGTGTTACCCATTATTCTAAATTATTTTGAGAAAAAAACACGTATAATTTTCTGATTATTGTGTTGTACATCAGGTTGTAAAATGTTTAAATCGTTAAACTAAGTATAAGCATCATGTTGAACGTTTTTTTTTCATGATACAGGTTGCTCCTGTGAACTCGGTACATAAGTTGTTTTTTGAGCTATCCTAAACAGAATGCTACTAACTGCTTCAGCCACAAAAAAGTCAATCAACAGGTCATAGAGTCAGAATAAATCTAAAAAAAGAAAAAAAAACTGTCAGGCTGATCAGACTGGATGAAGGAGACGAACAAGGTGAGACGTTTAACAGTTTTATTATTTCTCTGGTCGTATCTCTGTGAGGAAGAAACGATGACTGAGATGAGAAGCCGGTCACGGCGTCTTCCATATATAGCCTTGCTTGGCTGTGACGTGGAGGGAATCCCCGCGAGGAGCACGCTGGGAGCTCCCCACGAGGGGCATGTCGGGAGTTGTGGTCCGAAGGTCAGCCGGGAGATACCTGAGTCCTGACAGGACCCCCCGGTCCAGGGACGGCTCCAGAAGTCCCAGCGCGACCCCGGCGGACCCAGAAGTCAGAGATCAGGGAAGGGTCCAGGATGGACCGAGCCGGCTCCCAGGAGCGTTCCTCGGGGCCATAGTCCTTCCAGTCCACCAGGTACTGCCAGCCCCGACCCCTGCGGCGAGCGTCCAGGATGCGCCGGACGGTGTAGATAGGCTCACCGTCGAGGAAGCGGGCAGGAGGCGGCGCCGGAGCCGGAGGCGGGAGAAGGGAGGACTCCACGTAGGGCTTGAGCCGGGAGGTATGGAAGGTGGGATGGATGCGGAGAGTAGCCGGCAGCCGCAACCGGTACGTGACCAGGTTGATGACCCTTTGGATGGGGTATGGGCCGAGGAACCGAGGGGCGAGTTTCTTGGACCCGGCACGGACCCGAAGGTCAGTCGTGGACACCCAGACCTTGTCCCCAGGAGCATAGGAGGGACCAGGACGGTGTCGACGGAGATGCTGGTGAGCATAGCTGGTGTTAGCTCTGGTTATGGAGGCTCGTGCTTTGATCCAGGCGCTCTTGCAGCGTCTCACCATGGCTTCCACTGCCGGAACGGCGACCTCGGGTTCTTGGTGGGCAAAGACCGGGGGCTGGAAGCCATAGCAGACCTCGAAAGGGGACAGCCGAGTGGCAGATGAGGTATGAAGATTGTGGGACAGCTCCGCCCAGAGGAGGTATTTAGGCCACTGCGAGGGTTGAGCCGAGACAATACAACGAAGGTACCGACCCAGCTGTTGGTTAGCCCGCTCCGTCTGGCCATTGGTCTGCGGGTGGTAGCCTGAAGATAGACTGACCGATGCTCCCATCAGCCGACAGAAAGCTTTCCAGAACCGGGCCGTGAACTGGGGCCCCCGATCCGAGACCACGTCGACTGGGAACCCGTGGAGGCGCACCACGTTCTCCAGGAACAGTTCCGCTGTGCGTTGGGCTGAGGGGAGACCCGGAAGGGCGATGAAATGGACAGACTTGGAAAAGTGGTCCGTAACCGTCATGACAGTGTTGAGGTTATTGACCGGCGGGAGACCCGTGACGAAGTCCAGCCCCACGTGGGACCAGGGGCGGCTGGGCACCGGAAGAGGTCGGAGGGCACCAGCCGAGGCCTGGTTGGGGTTCTTGGAGCGGGCACAGACGTCACAGGCGCTGGTGTATTCTTTCACATCCCTCGCCATGCCTGGCCACCAGAGGGCTCGCTGGAGGAATTTAAGAGTTCTGGAGAAACCAGCGTGGCCAGACAGGCGTGATGAGTGGGCCCAGGACAACGCCTCGCTACGACAGGCCGTGGGGACATAGAGGCGACCCGCGGGGGTCTCTGGAGGCGCGGGGTCGTCCCGGAGGGCGTTCTGGATAGCTTCCTCCAACGGCCACCTCAGTTGGCCCAGGAAGCGGTGTTCCGGGAGGATTGGCGCTGGCTCGGACGAGGGCGTGGAGTGGGTGAATTGGCGGGAGAGGGCGTCCGCCTTCTGGTTCTTGGCTCCCGGGCGGTAGGCGAGATGGAAGTCGTAGGGTTCAAAGAAGAGGGCCCAGCGAGCCTGGCGAGGGTTAAGCTGCTTGGCAGATTTAATGTGGGTCAGGTTCTGATGGTCAGTCCAGATCGTGAAAGGCCGAGTGGTGCCCACAAGCCACTGCCTCCATTCCTCCAATGCCCATTTTATGGCCAGTAACTCACGGTCGCCCACACCGTACTTCTGCTGGGTGGTGGAAAACTTCCTGGAGAGGTAGGCGCAGGGATGGAGCCTGTTGTCGGGCCCGCCTTGAGACAGGATGGCGCCGGCGCCGACGTCAGAGGCGTCGACCTCGACCACAAAGGGAACTGCAGGATCTGGATGGCGGAGGATCGGGGCCGAGGTAAAGCGGGTGACCAGGTGGCGGAAGGCCCGAATGGCGTCGGGAGTTAGACAAAACAGCTGGCCAGGGGAGCCTGGTCGAGTGAGAGAGGTGAGAGGGGCTACGAGGGTGCTATAGTTCTTTATAAAACGGTGGTAAAAGTTGCAGAAACCCAGAAAACTCTGCAGTTGTTTCAGGCTGGTTGGCAAGGGCCAGTCCTTCACCGCCTGGATTTTCTGAGGGTCCATGGTTATCCCTTCGTCCGAGATCATGTAGCCCAGGAAGGATATGGACTGCTGATGGAAGGAGCATTTCTCGGGTTTACAGTACAGGTTGTGGTCCAGGAGCCGGGTTAGGACGGCGCGAACATGATGGATGTGTTCGGCCTCGGATTTGGAGTAGATCAGTATATCGTCCAGATAGGCGAACACCCACCGTCCCAGCATGTCGCGGAGGACATCATTAATGAGACGTTGGAACACAGCAGGGCTATTGCATAGTCCGAAGGGCATAACCAGGTACTCCCAGTGGCCGGTGGGTGTTATGAACGCGGTCTTCCACTCATCCCCGGCCTTTATACGGAACAGATTGTAGGCGCTCCGGAGATCCAGTTTCGTAAAGATCCGTGCCTGGGAGATGGCATCCAGAGCGGTAGTGAGGAGCGGCAGAGGATGGCGGTCCTTGACCGTGATCTTGTTCAGACCCCGATAGTCTATGCAGGGGCGAAGATCGCCTTCCTTTTTCTTCACGAAGAAGAAGCCAGCGGCACCCGGAGAGGAGGAGGGTCGGATGAACCCCTGCTGGAGGGCCTGGGCGATGTATTCTTCCATCGCTTTGGTCTCGGGAGGCGCGAGAGAGAAAAGGCGCCCGCGGGGAGGACTGGTTCCGGGTAGCAGCTTGATCTCCATATCATATGGCCGGTGAGGTGGCAGGGAGGTGGCGCGCCGCTTGTCGAACACCGCGGCCAGGTCCCGATAGGGCAGCGGCAAGTGGGGCGGTGTGGAGCCGGGGCCCCCGTCCGGAAGACCCGCCGAGGATGGAGGAGGAACGAGGTGGGTCTGGCACGAGGTCCCCCAGCCCAGCAGGCGGTTCTGGGACCAGGAAATATGAGGGTCGTGGAGACGGAGCCAGGGGAACCCCAGGATTAGAGGAGAAGAGGGAGCAGAAATGACCAGGAAATGGAGGGTCTCCTGGTGGCCTTGGGTGATCATACGGAGTGACTGGGTTCGGTCTCGGACTGGGTAGGGTTGGAGAGGCCTACCGTCCACCGAGGTCACTGGTATAACTCTCTCCAGGGGTTGTAGGGGGATCCGTAGGCGTTTTGCCAGATCTAGGTCCATGAAATTGTCCGCGGCCCCCGAGTCCACCAATGCGTTTACGTGGAGTGAGGCCTCACCATGGAGGAGGGTGACAGGAATAAGGAGACGGTTAGTAGCGACAGGGGTAGAAGAAGACCCAGACTGAGCGACCCCAATACTCAGTGGGGCCCCCCGTTTCCCGATCGTAGCGGGCAGTCCAGGCGTCGGTGGTCGGGAGAGCCACAGTAGGCACAGAGGCCCTCGCGCCACCGTCGTTGTCTCTCCTCGGGGGGAAGGTGGCCGAGCTGCATGGGCTCCTCCGCCAGCATGGGTACAGGAGCTGGCGTGGGTGAACGAGGGCGAGGCACCGGCGTCCTGGGTGGACGCGTGGATAACTTGGGTCGAACCAGAACCCGCTGGTCGATGCGCAGCGCCAGATCAACCACCTCATCCAGGGTCTGAGGCAGCTCCCTTCCCGCCAACTCATCACGGATGTAGGGTGCCAGCCCCTCCAGGAAGGCGGCCCGCAGAGCGGAGTCATTCCACTGCAGCTTGGCGGAGATGGTGCGAAACTCCGACGCATAAACGCACACCGAGCGTTCTCGCTGGCGGAGTTTGAGAAGGCGTGTCTCTGCTCCCACTTCGCTGCTGGGGGGAACAAAGGTCTTCCGGAGAGCGGACACAAACGCAGCATAGTCGTTGCAGGCAGGGGATTTGGAATTGTAAAGCGCAGCAGCCCACTCCGCGGCGCGTCCGGAGAGCAGGGAGGTGAGATGCGCCACTCGGGAGCGCGCAGATGGGTAGCGTCCAGGTTGGCACTCGAACTGCATGTCCAGCGTGGCGAGCAGACCATCGGGGCTCCCCGTCTCCCCGTCTCCCCGTTCCACCTCTCCGGCAGGCTGAAGTGGGGCTCCTCCCTAGGAGCAGAGCGGGTTGGCTGCTGGAGTGCAGCGATCTGTTGCTGCTGATCGTTTGCTTGTTGTTGGAGAGCCGTGAGAGCCGTGGATAGACGCAGGGTGTGGTCGGACAAGGAGTTCACCTTGGTGTTGAGCTGATCTACCATGGAACGCAGCTGCACGTTCTCGTGGCGGAGACGATCGATCTCCGTCGAATCTACTCGGTTGTCAGTCATCCTGTCAGGCTGATCAGACTGGATGAAGGAGACGAACAAGGTGAGACGTTTAACAGTTTTATTATTTCTCTGGTCGTATCTCTGTGAGGAAGAAACGATGACTGAGATGAGAAGCCGGTCACGGCGTCTTCCATATATAGCCTTGCTTGGCTGTGACGTGGAGGGAATCCCCGCGAGGAGCACGCTGGGAGCTCCCCACGAGGGGCATGTCGGGAGTTGTGGTCCGAAGGTCAGCCGGGAGATACCTGAGTCCTGACAAAAACTAAACAAGAAAATAAATATTTTTTTCCCAATTGTTGTTGTAAAGAAATTTATTAATTTTATGACAGCTTTTCTAAATCTAACCCTAAATACTTTGGATGTATTATGAATAAATGCATGTGTGTTTAATTTTTCTGCAGCTGACTACATTGTGATGCAGTTTGGCCGTGTGGCAGAGGATGTTTTCACCATGGACTATAACTACCCAATGTGTGCCCTGCAAGCCTTCGCCATCGCCCTCTCCAGCTTTGACAGCAAGTTAGCCTGTGAATAGACCTGAAGTTCAGAAAAGAGCGGGTCCGTCTGTCCTTAAGGGCTGTTCATGCATCTCTGGCTGGTTTGAAACTCTCCAAATCACCCCAGTACCTTGGAAGTCCTGCATAGTCAAAAATACTTGCTGGGCCTCAAATTTTATGTTACGTGCGTGTGCCTGGGGGAGGCGGGTGGTCTCGGTCAGCGGATGAAAACAAGCACAAACGGTAAAATACCTGCTAAATCAAACAGTTTGTCTTGATACTTATGGTCATTTTGCACTGTAACATCATTAAGAAAAACCAACACTGTTTCTTTATGTCGTAAATATATAAAGTTAACATTTCCTTCTCTGTAAAATTTAACAAACAGTCACAGCTCACTGGATTTTCTGTAGTCTCCAACATGAAACACAATGTCACTCACTTCACCATGCATGGATACGTCTTACATAGTTGGTAAGTAAAAAAAAATCCCCATCCTCAAGCTTAACTTTGTTTTCATATTTATTACATGATGATTTCTCCATCCGTATCAGTGTCTGCTCCACGGTTCTCCAGAAATCAGCCATTGCTGCAAGGAAAACCCTTACTTTCACCTGAATCAGAGACTCAGACATAGAACGGGTGCCAGCAAAGTGCTGTAGACATTATCATGTCACACTCGTGAATGTAAAAGGTGAAGGTGCACTAAACTGTGAAATTGTGATGAACGATAGATACTTCTAACATTCTTTAGTGTGCCTTTAAAGACTAATTCTAGTGTCAAACTTTAGCCAGAAATCAAGCTGAGCTAGGTGAATTGTTTCCTCTCTCCTCATCCCCTGGAGGTAATTCTCCAAATACTTCTAAGATAGCATTAGATAGACCTCCAAGACTACAAACAACAATAGAAAAAGATTGAATCAATACTATTCTAAAAAATTTTTTTAAAAGGTTATCTAGTCACCCACTCTAATGATCGGTATTGGAAAGCCTGATTGGTCACCTTTGCAAGTTGCCTAGGAAGTAAGCAGCACAGCTAAATGCATGGGCTCCTCATGCTGGTCACCAGACTAGTCATAGTTTACAGTGGGATGACGTCACATACTTCAACCAGTTGTTGTTGAAGGTTGACATTTTTAGTCACAAGCTGGTCCCACAAGTGTTTAGTTGGGTATGGACTCTTGGAAGGCCCTTCCTTCTGTACTCCTTCTGGAAATACTTTGTGATGATACTGGTTCTACCACTGGTGGTACTGTTATACTTCATTTTAAATATCTGGAGCAGTGGTTCCCTATCTGGGTTTGTGAGATTGCATAGAGTCCCCACATTCCTGTCTGTGCTGAGGCTGGGACGTTACCAATATTATATTTTTTAAAAGTACAGTCACAAAATACTAAAAACGTACATACTATCATAATCAAAACCCTGGAAAAGTGTTTTTAATGCATTTTAATTATTTTTAATGGGTCTTGGACACTGACACAACTCTGGAAGAAAGCCTTTGGCAAAGATGAGGAACTGATCTTCACGAGGTGTCGTCTTCCTAAGACGCTCAAGTCGTGATCCGTCTTTGACTTCAACAGTCTCGTGGAACTAGTTTGGAAATAGTTAACAGGGCTGAGGCCAAATTGCTGTGGTGATGGTGGCTCAGGGGTTAGGAGTTTTCTCTGTAGCCGGTGAGTTGCTGGTTCAAACCCAGGCTCTGTTTGTGCCAGTTGTGTTTTTAGGAAGGAAAGGCCATCCTCCATTCCCGCTGGTGGAGATGGAGGCATCAGTGGCGCCTGTGTCCGTCAGCCACAGCTCTGTCAGTGTAATCCAGGGCAGCTGTGGCTACAATGTAGCTCATCACCACCAGTGTGTGAACATGTGTGTGAATGGGTGAATGACTGACTGTAGCGTAAAGTGCTTTGAAGTCCTCTGGGACAAAAATGCTCAATGTAATTGCTTCAAGAAGCTAATGCCTGGGTCTGGTTGCAGAATGGTCAATGGCCTGTTTTATATAGCATCTTCTAGAGTCCTAGAACCCCCCAAGGTGCTTTACAAAACAATAGTCACTCATCCCCACTCCGCCTGCTCCCTCCGACCGTCACTAGCAGGTGGAACGCTGATACTCGGAGCATAACAAACTGAACAAATTTGTGGCTCACGTGTCCAAGCGCTGTGCCAATCATCCATAAACATGTGCTAGAACAATTATGGCAGCACTTGAAGTTCAAAACAAATGTGGACACCAACGGGAGGCGTTGGAAAATTTTTTGGAGGGAACCTAGCTACCCACATGTTTAGGTGTGTTGCTCATTCCTTGGACTTTTCATAAAGGTGACTAAACCAACTCACAATATAAAATCCAACATCATTTGTGGATATTAAGATAACTTGACTGAGATAATGTTTCCTAACTGAGGAGTTTAAATTTTTACAAGGAATTTTTTAGGAGAGTAGTGTAGAAAGCTGACATAAGAAATATCTTACCTGAGGTGGATAGCTTATTTAATGACATCAGTATAGACAAAATTGCATAAGAATGACAAGCTAACAGCTAGTCTGACCAGAGCTAACAGACCAAAAAGGATCATCGCCATTTAAAACACCCAATCTCCAAAATGTCATAGCAGCTCATTTGAATACATAGAAATATTAACCACTGTTAAGCTGGTCCGATTCAGCCTAGCCATTAGCTTGTCTTTCTGTCAAAACCCTTCTATTTCCCCACACTAAGGTTGTTCCAAGTGCTATTACTTAGTCATAACATTTCCACTGAACTTCACTTAAAATTATGTTTATGCCCTACAACTCCATTCTGTTTAATGACGTAAATGTTTGTACATCAGACACCAGATACAACAACTTTCCAAAGCCTTTGAGCTTTGGTCTGTCCTCCAGTCTGCAACAACCGTACACTGATTCAACACATTCAGTGTCCACAGTTAGTTTGAAAATGCACTCCATACTTATTTTTTATTTACATTTTTTAGGTTTATGCTCGGTGTCGTGAAGTTCGACACGTCAGTAAACAGCAGTAAGTCTCCATCTTGTTCACATTTGCACTCATTTCTTTTCTCTCTTCTTCCTTGTTCTGATGAGGCAGTATCTTTTCTGCAGTAGATTTTATATTTGATGATGGTTTTAAAAAAGAAAGCTGAACAGCAGCAAAGAACAATCTCTGATACCACTCTTGTTACTGTGGGTTATGAGAAAATCTTTAACAAATGCGCTATTCTTGTACTTAATTGTGTTGTAACTATTTTAAATTTCTATTTCTCAAACTGTTGATACTCTTGCTGTAAAGTCTGCTTTTCTTACGTGTCCAAAGAACCAAAAGTTCTTTCACTCTGTTTTCAGTGCTCTCATCGTAATGTACAGTAAATGGTGTGCAATTTACTCTGGTGGTATTGACACAGTTCTTTATCAATGGAAAACAATAAACTTACAGTTCGTCAAACGGCACGCTTGTGGTTCTGGAACATTAATGGAACATTTGAAGGAGCTTATCTGGAGAACTTGGTTCAAGGTGGCAGTGGAAGAAATATCTGTTTACGTATAATATAGTTTGTTGTGTGAATGCAACAAAACAAGAGATATGCAAAGAAATAAACATTTTTAGTTAAATATTTCAGTTTAAATAAAGAATGAATTATCACTGATCAGTGTTCGTATTCACAACATTAAAATTACACACAGTGATGGAAAAGTTTGTTTTAAAAACAAATACTCTCTCTCTCTCTCTCTCTCTCTCTCTCTCTCTCTCTCTCTCTCTCTCTCTCTCTCTCTCTCAGTAAGAACTTCTGGGTCGCTCTTTTACAGGCTTTGGCTCTTTAAATCAGCGCTGCTGATTTTTGCCAGCCAGTGTCTAATTACAAATTACAGCACAGCAGCGTTTGTTGGCACAGACTCGGCAAACTCACAAGCTCTGATATGATTGGCTCTGGAACCAGGAAGTATGGAGGTATTGGTTTCATTGAAACGACTACATCCCTCTTTGGCCTTTTTACAAGGAGAAAATCTGGCAACCACCCACCGGCTGAGAAGGAAATCTGTTTCCAACCTTCTAACGTAACTCAGACAAAACTGTATTGTGATTATTTCACATTTGTTTAGTCTCTCTTTTTTTTATTCATGATATTGATGATATTGTGTTCTCCTGTGTATTAATTTAAGGTTCTTCTAATGGTTTTTAACGGTCTTGGGCCTTCTTATCTCTCAGAACTGTTTTTACCGTATGAACCCTCACGGCCTCCGCGCTCCTCTGGCAGGCGTCTCCTGGTCATCCCTAAAGTCAGAACACACACTCACGGCGAGGCGTCCTTCCAGCGTTATGGCCCTCGCCTCTGGAACGAGCTGCCAGAGGACCTCAGGGCTGCAGAGAACGTTCATGTTTTGAAGTCCAGGCTCAAGACCCATCTTTTTAGGTTATCTTTTATCTAAATATTTACTAGTTTTATTTCTTGTTTTACATATATTTTATTGCTTGCTTTGCATGTTTTACATGATTATATTTTAGCATTGTTTTCATTATTTAATACTATTATTTTACTGTCTATATGATTTTATTTATTACTTATTTTCTAACTTTAGTCCCTTATATTAGCTCTTTTATTATATTTTTACCCATTTTAATCCAGTGTTTCCTCTGTAGGGGCCCTCTGCCTCTACAGGTAGTGTTTAAGTGGAGGTGGGGGGTCTATGCTCTCCCTCCACTGAGCGCCCTGACTTAGTGTGGAAGACCTGATGCTGCCGGGGCAGACGGCTCCTCTGGTGGCGTTTCCTTGCTTTGCCTTACTTGGCTTATCTGGACTCAGCCAAATATAATTTTTACTTGTGCGTGTGCTTGCATATGTCTGTTAATGTTTTTAACCTGTTTTGGGAATCTGGGGTCATTTTGTAAAGCACTTTGAGTTGCACTTTGTTTGAAAAGTGCTCTATAAATAAATCTGATTGATTGACTGATGTTTGTGCCATCAGAGAGGAATCACTGAACAAGGGTTGGTAGCTGATTGATCTTTTTATCATCAAATAGTATTTTTCTGTGAGACTGAGCTGTTTGTACGTCTGCTCTTGATCAGCCACTGAAACAATGCTTCCTTTAGCTCGTTTAATCAGTCACGACCAGGAGCGTTATCATATATTCATGCTGTGCTGTTGATACTTAATGAAGATATGATTTTTTTATCAGGCTTTGATTTTTGAATTCAAAAGCTTCTCATACATGCAAAATGAAGATATGAGAGAAAACTTTGTTTTTTTATTTTTTGAAACAAACAATCTTAAAGTACTCAGAGGAGCTTTCTCATATCAAACAGGACAGATCAGATGGAACTTTAGGATCACAATGCCAGAGAAAAATGATGAAAATGAACTATTATGAGATGATAAATAAGTCACAAATATGGACAAACAGTTTTAACATGTTTAATCCATGTTCTGCTCATGCAAAGGTAGGTTGCAGAGGTCCAAGAGGGAAGACCAGACATCCCTGTCACTAACACTCTGCTGCTTCTTCTGGGGGATCCTAGTGTGTTCCTTGGCTAGAGAGAATGTTTCATGCTTTCAACCAGTTCTGGGTCAGTCCTGATGTCTCCTTTCACTGAGACTGCTCAGATGTCCAAACAACCTAGAGCGACTTGTTTTGATGCAGACGAGCAGCAGCTGTAGTCTGAAGGTGATGACAGCTGTTTCTCTGTTGAATGGTTCTCATCATTTCAAAGCTTTTAGACACTTTCTTCTGTACTTTGTGCCAAATCCACTCTTTAATAACCAGAAAGGAATGGAAAATAAATCTTTGGAGTAAAATATTGAAATTTCTTTTTTTTTTTTTTGACAGCCATATTTAGTTACAGTGTAGTTTGGGTTTTATGGTTTAAACAGGAATCTAGAAGGGCACAACTGTGACTATTCTACATGCAGGAAAAGTTCTTTCATGTCTCCCGTCTGTTTCTCATCCTCAGCCCACTTTGCTCAACTTCTTTAGGCAAGTCTACGTGGAGCTGATCTTCATCCTCCTCTAGCGCTAACAGCATGCACTCCTCCTCCTCTCCTTCATATGGGTTTGAAGATCCTTCACAGCTGAACTGCAGGCTCTCTGCCTCCATTAGTGGGTCATCCTCAGCACCAGCTTCCTCATCCTCATCCTCCACCTCTGTCTCTTCTTCCTCCGTCTCCTCTTCCTTCTCATCCTCCTCTTCCTCGAATGTTTCTTCTTTAGGGTAGTGGAAGACGTGTTTGCGGTCACTGAAACTGATTTGCTTCTTCCGTCCGCTGTGATGTTGTAACTCTGTGCTTACCTCCAACCCAACTCTTTCCTGCTTCCTGTTGACAGTAGGTCGAATAGGAGGAAGCAGCTGCTTCTGCTCTGCTTCCTCCTCTTCTTCTACACTTTCCTCCACTTCAGTTTCCTCATCTTCTTCCTCTTCTCCATTCACTTCCTCTTCTTCCTCTTTGTCCACTTCATCCTCCTCTTCCTCGTGCACTATAGAGAGTTTCCTTGCCACAATCTCCTCCTCTTCTTGTTCCATCCTCTCTGCGAGGGCCTCGGCAGTGGGTTGACTGGGAGCATCCTCTGGCCTGAATGTTCTAAACTCCCGCCTGTTACCGCGGTGATCATCGTATTGTGGGTACGTTTCCTCTGGGTATCCTGTGTTGGAGTAAAAGTAAAATTAAAAGGTTTGTATTAACTAAACACATGTCCTAAAGAGTCCGGTTGAAGAAGGTTTGATGATTTATATTTAGGTGTGCACCTTCCCAGTCTGCACTGTAGGGGACCTCCTCAGCCTCCATCTCCGGGGATGCTCCCTCCAACCGGCCCTCCTGCATCAGCAGTGATATCTGCCTCAGCTGCCTCAGGAGCTTCTCTTCCTTCTTTGAAGCTGAGGTTTTATTTTTCCGCTTCCTGCAGCACAAATGTGGCAGCCGAGTCAGGAGGAGATGAAAAGGCTTTGACATGTAACTTTAAACCTATAAATAGGGCGTTCCCTAACCAGGCGAGAGACACAGTCCCTCAAGTGTGTCCTGGGTCTCCCTTTAGGTTTCCTCCAAGTTGGATGTGCCCAGAAAACCTCACCAGGGAGGTGTCTAGGAGGCATCCTAACCAGATGCCCGAGCCACTTCAACTGGCTCCCCTCGATTTGGAGGAGCAGCAGATGTACTCCGAGCCCCTCCCGGATGACAGTTTTTCACCCTACTGAGGAAAGCCGAGACACCCTGCGGTTCAGTGAAGTTAAAATCTGATTCATACCTCGAGGAACAGTTGCTCCTCTCTGAGACGATCCTCTCCATCATCATTTCTGCTTGCAGAAGCTGCTGTTGAAGCCTGGCGAGCTCATAATCTGTAGCTAAACAGTCAACGACATCAAATTATTCTGCAAGACAACTGTTTGTTTACTGGTTTCCTTTCAAAATAAAATGTTCCATAACATGAATATGGTTGTTTACTGAAGATTTACTTAGCATTCATTTTTTTAATAAAAAAAAACCCTGATGACATTTACACCAGTAGAAGTCTATTAAATAAACAAATAACACTCACTGGCTGTGTTCCTCATACTGGTCATTTTCACTGTAGTGTAGAGTCCTGGTTTATTTATCTTGCTCTTGTTTGTCAGCTAGGATCAAAAAGCACGAGAGGATTTTATTTAGTCCAACATATTATTATAAAACTGGATTTAATATTATTTTTGTACTTATTTTAAAACATGTTGTTCATTGCTGTTTACAGCAGAGCCTAGTCACAGGGAGTACCTTATGGATAATATACAGGATGTAAAGCAGGATCCCAAAGCTGTAGATGGGAATCACTTGAGCCATCAGGTTGTATTTTTTGCCTCGTTGGATGCTCATCACTTTGGCCATGGCCTCAACAGTGTGTGACAGGGAAGGAGACGAATCCACATCCCACTGGTCTGGGTCATCTGGAACTGGGAGCTGATGCTTTACAGAAGAATAGAACCCCGGTCCAACTGGAGGAGCAAGAATGCAGACCACCATATTTGACAAAAATCCCCAAAATAGGTATTTATGTGTTGCTGCTGCTCTCAAGTGGCTGCAAGCTAGCACTACATCAGCCATTTTAGCTAGCTCTACCTCATGTTTTGTTTCCCTGTTCTGACACACCTGGTTCAGTAGGTCATCAAACTCTGCAGAAGCCTGGTAATCACCCACTGATTAAAAGCAGGTGTGTTAAAGCAGAGAACCCTCTAAACAAATGCAGGACGGTGGCCCTGGAGGACCAGTATTGGACATCACTGTACAACACCATGTGTTTGACTGGCTGAGCTACAATTATGTGATTGAAAATTCACCAAAAATTCAATATTTTAAATCGAGGAGATAAATATATGATTCAGATAATCTTACTGAAAAATATTGATTGTATAATTTCATGTGGTGTTAAGAGAGATGGAAGCTACAAAGATGGAAGCTTGATTGGAGTCTGGCTGTTGGAAGAGAGACAATGGTATGAAGCCATTTAAAAATGTTTTTATTTATCTCCTTGGTTGTATTGGCTTTAAGGTTGGGTTTTGTATTAGCTGTGAGGTAGCCTGGTTGTTAGCATGTTGCTAACACCCACCACAAGTAGCTCATCGCTCCTGAAGAGTAACTGGAACCTTATGTTGTACGTATATTTCATTAATTTAAAACGAATAAAGGGCTGGTTTATTAGCAGAGAGCATTAGGACCACCTCCAGAAAACACAAATTTAAACAAAGCAGAAGTGTCTAGGTCGAAGTTCACAAGTTTAAAACTATTTTTGCAGTAAAATAAAAATAGTTTTTACAACAAAGCTGAAATGAGGCGCAAAACTATCATAGCTTTTGAAAAAAAAAATAATTGGCGTGGTTATTAATTAGGTTTTAGTATTATTTACATTTCCTCAAAGTAGCTTAACTTGTGCTTTTCCAGGGGGGGGGGGGGGGGGGAAGACTCTAGAAGGCCTTTTTGTTGTTGTTTATGTTTACATTTATGAGTCAACTAATCTGTTAAGACTAGAAGTGTTTTTTTAGTCACACCAAATACAATTCCGGGTCTCAAGAAGCTAATATAGCGTTGCTCATTGAGAGTAATGTGAACATAAGTTGTAATGATACAACCAAAAACATTAAAAATGATCACAAAAGTAATTTGTCTTTCAGTTTTATTTTGAATGAATTTCTAAATCTTTTTAGACATTTTTTGAACGCCAAAAACTTTAAAGATAGCAACCAAGTCGGTTTCAGGCTAGAATAATAACCATATACATCTAGATCGTGTGAAATCACAATAGACATGTTTGCAGTATGGCGGGTTCTTGAAGCCTCAGAACAGCAGCAGCAGCTGCTGGGGATGGAGATGGATGGATGATGGCCTGATAAGCTGCCTTACCCTCAGGCTGGCCCTTTTCTTTCCTCCTTCTGGGCAAAAGCATACCAGGCAGGAAGAGAGAGACGCAGAGAACAGAGCACGATATCAGCGTAACCTTCTGGCATGTTGTTATAGCCATCTTGTCTGAGAAAATGATGGACTTCCTCTGTTAATTTCACTTGACCAGAAAAAGCTAGTCTCTACAGATGTCAGTGCTCTAGTGACGACGTTTATGCCCAGATTAAAACAGATTAGGCCCCGCTGCATTTGAGTGCCGTTGGAAATATGGGCTGTAAATCCCTGTTGGCTGCTCATTTTAGTACTTTGTTTTTGCGTATCTACTGTTTAAAAAGTCTGTGCTTATGTAAGTAATCTATTTGTAGTTTTAGAGAAAATTTTTGCTAACGGGGTCTTTCGTTAGTTGTCAAAAAAACAGCAAAAAGAAATAAAAATTCGGACTAGATGGACGTGGCGCTGTTTATCACAATTGTGGGCCGGTTTTATAAAAATCAGAATCAGATAATAAATGATGCACAAAACGTTTAATTTGTGAGAACCCAAAAGCCTGTTTAGAACTTTACTCGAGCTTCAGTCACAAATTAGATCATCACCATTATTTTATGTCTAAACCCTGTTACGTCTCACTGTCATATGAGGTTAAATAACCCGTTGGATGATGCCAAACAAAGCTGTTTTATGAGGATTTCCTTCCTTCCTTTTTAGCTCATCCTCATGTTCTGCAGAATTAACATGTGTCACTTAAGATTGGAGCAGGGAAACACCTAAAACGTGCAGGGCTTGGGTTCCCATGAGGAGCTATGACAGGAAAAGATGCAGTAAAATAGATTTTTTTATTATTTTTTTTATGATTTAAATAAGCAATCCAAGAGGAAACTTTTGAACATGCAGATTGGGTAACAGCAGTGGGGTCTTGAATGCATCATTTGACCTGCTGACTCTTCTGTTTGTATTTGATACCAGAGAGCAGCAGAGGGCACTGCAGACTCTGGTATGAGACCATGGGAGATCACCAGCTCTACAGTCAAGTAAGTCATGATATCACCACCGAGTTTGAATCAATTTCTTTTTTTTTTTTTTTGTTTGTTTGTATATAGATTTTTCTTCCTCTAGAATAATTTTTACAACACCCGGAGTGATGGTGTCATAAAGACGTGGACCTCCAGAATCACATCAGCATTACCCGTGTGAGCTGTGATTTTTAGATAAATACACTCATTTTTGTTTTTAATTAGCTGGACTGCACTCAAGATGGTAAAGTTTCTAATCACTCGATGGATTAGTAATTCTTTTTACTTCCATTTAAAATATTTATTTCACCAATGTTGCTCTTCTGAAATTTATAATCTGGTATTGGAGACAAGAAAATTTGAGACCACTTCATTTTTTTTGGGCTTTTGCTTAATTTACTTTGAAATCAACTCTTTTCACAACGCCAGTTTAGAGCGGGATTGATGTGCCTTTGTTGTGCAAATGACTCTCGTTGGAAAGCACAAAGAGGGAACTGGGGAACAGAGTTGATGTACAGCTGATACGCCTCTGAGTCGGCTGTAAGCAGTCCCAGAGTTTGGTTAGGGTGCGTCTGCGGTGCAGCGCGTCGCTCTTCCTGAAGTCAGTGTTGTTGATGATTTTGTGACACTTGCCTATTTGTGTTCACATATTTATGTTGCACCGAGTCAGCTCCACCCAGTCTTTAGAGAAAGCCCAAAGAAAGTAAAACTGCTGGATACTTTAATCTCCTTATTTTTGATCATTAGATCAACGGTCTTAAGTTACAGTCCAAACCTGCTTTAACAATGGTGACAACTCCAAACAAACAAAACAAAAAAGTAAATAAAGCTATAAATGAATATAATGGCAAGATCAGCAACACAGGAAGGGAAGTCATTTAGGCAGAACCTTTTTTTTTTCTTTTTTTCTTTTTTTAACCTCACAATCATTAAAGGTTTTATATTAATGAGGTTTGAGTTTGGGTCCAAATAAAAGCAAAGCTAGTTTTTACCAACAGAAGGAAACGGGTGAAGGAATGAACGGGGGGGCCGTATCAAATACTTTCATTGATCCATGATTGCTTTCTGCGATCTGTTTGTAACCAGAGGGTTGTGGGATCGATCCCTCTTGGTGGAGAGCACTGCCTTTGTGTCCTTGGGCAAGACACTGAACCCCCTTGCCTGCGGGTGGTAGCTGGAGGGATCTGTGGCGCCTGTGCTCGGCAGCCTCACCACTGTCGGCGAGCCCCAGGGCAGCTGTGGCTACATTGTAGCTCATCATCATCAGTGTGTGTGAGTGTGTGAATGGATGATGCGCTGTAGTGTAAAGTGCTTTGGAGTCATCTGACTCTGAAAGTTGTTATACAAGTGCAGGTCATTTATCATATTTCAACTTGGCTGCTGCTGACCATATCACCACACTTCCAATCACGGAGAATCTCCTGCATCATATCCACAAAGATGAGATGGTGAAGCCGATCCTGGTGGCTCCTCAGCACCCAGAGGTGTTCGATCCAAGTTTAAGAAGTTATCATGAACTGGAATGAAAATGCAATCATCTGGAAAAATTTCCACCAATGTAGGATTAGCAGGTGTGTTCAAAAAGCGATGGAGATGAGGTGTGAGTTAGAAACTTTGGCTAATGTCTGTTTTTACAGTGTACCGGTATTGACTCGGGTATTCGACATCAGTCATTGCCTAGCAACTGGCATCTTTGTTGTCTGTGCATCCTGCTCTGCGCTCTTCTGTCCAGCTTATGACTAAACTTTTTATTTCAAATTTGGCTTCAGCTTCAAAATGTCAGTTTACGTGCAAAATACATATTTAACCTCCTAAGGCCCTGTGTCCACATGTGGACAATGGCTTCTTGCACTATAAAATGTTGTTCTATTCAACTGAGACCTTTTTGGTATTTAGACACTTGATATAGACTTTAGGTTTAAACATGTTTTTTAGGAAATTGACAACATTTTTGTTCCCATTCATGAGAGTTGACTAATCTGTAATAGCTCAGTGTGTTTTTTTCTTTAAAATTACATCAAATACAAATTCGGGTCTCAGGAGGTTAACATGTTTTTGTCACATTCACACTTTCTACACATGCTCTTATTTAGCCAAACTTCACCCCTTTTGAAGGCTAAACTCAAATGCTTCCTGTGGCTGGGTGTTGTAAAGGTCTGCATTTGGAAATGACAGATCGAGGGCAAAACTCACAAGCAGCAAATGACGCAGGTCAAAATAAATTCACGTTTGACTCCCATCCTCTATGCAGTACAAAGTCCAAGAATAGTAAATTCAGTCTAATTAAATGTTTCTCTGATATATTGTTTTAAAGTAACACTAGACAGTTTCCTGTTTCCTCGTCCTACTGGTTGAAAGCCGATTTACTGTCATGAACAACCCTACTGCAGCCTGCTGTAGCTAGCGTTAACAACGAGCTAACACGAACAGGAGCCAGCTAATACTGAGAAACTACAAAATAAAATGATCCACGCTGTTGGACAAAAAACATTAATACTTGCAAGTCCAGTAGTAACAAAGCCAAGTGACCATCGGTTTGTGATATCATAGCCTCCTTCGAACCAGTGTAAGTTGTGCCAATGTTCACGCTGGTTTTAGATCTTCATCATAAAAGCAAATTTAGTTTTTTTTCCCTCCTGTGCTCTTTTCCCTGCTTCATCCCTTTCTATCCTGTTCTCGGTGAGGATAGACTGTTCTTTTCTTCCTCCTGATTCTGTCTTTGCATGCGTTTTGTCCTCGTCAGTCTGTCTGGAGTGTCTCTGCATTTTTCTCAGGATTGTTTTCTCAACTATGGATCTGGTCAGCTGGTCTCTAAATGCAATTGATCAATTCTCTCTACCTGAAGAATGGCTAAGGGGGAGCATTCCTGCCCTGACAGATCGCACTTGGCTGGATGATGGATTCCTGGGGCAAGTATCTGATCTTGTGTCTGTTGCTGCTGTCTACAGAGGACATAGAAGATAGTTACGTAATTGGACTCATAATAGCTGGGTTTCTGCTGTTAGGAGTGGGCAGGTTGGGAACAATTGGCAAGCCACCTGACCTCGAAGGGATGCCGTGTTGTCAGCACTAAGACCCCTGTGTTGCACAAGCCGGTCATCGGCTAGATGCTCTGACCAGCAACCTCGCTGTGGTTTCTGAACTCGCCCGCGGAATGGAAAACGGCTTGGAGAAGTAGTAAACTTGGCTTCGTGGAAATTGACCCCGATTTGTCTGTTTGGAGTTGCCCTTGAGACCACTGAGAGACCTTAAAGCAGCACAACAAGCTCTGGCCACTACCAAAACAATTATCGGATATCCAAATTAGAGACCGACTGATATATCGGGCGGATATATGAAATTTTTGCTATATCGGCCGAAATTATTTTTAAAAGCCGATTAAAATAAATAAATCAGGCACCTGTGTGGCCAACCACTGCCACTACTAGAGGGAAGAAAGGACCTGAAGGACCCCAACAGTTATTTTTTTCAGTTTTTTGAGTTTTTTATATTTAAAGTTCAATAAATATTAGTTTTATTGACTTATTTAATTTATATTACACGCAGTGAGTGTTCAATTGTTTTTCAATCAATGTGCTGCTAAAATGTATTTATATCGGCCTTAATAATTGGCTTTAGATACCAGCAACAAAATTCTTTAAAAATTGGCATAGGCATCAGCCTTAAAAAAAAAAGAAAACCATATCGGTCGGCCTCTAATCCAAATCTAGCTCCCAGCGTTGGCCTTGGATGGCCGATCGTCTCCAGCTTCTCTGAATGTTTATGTAGACAGCTGTTCTTTCCCACCCTTCCCAAATCCTCACAGATGTGCGAGCTCCTTGATCTGCACTTCCCAAGTTGGCATCGTTACGTCATGGGCGACGGACACGTCACCTAAGAATAGGCATGCTCACAACAATTCAATTCAGACACGCGCGCATTCCTTGCTCTTAAAGTGCTCACCCCTCCCCTGATTCGTTTCCTGTAGGGGGCAGCACTTGAAATCCCTTTTCCCCTCCTTCCACCCCCCTTCTTATCGTCCTTTTTTTAAATCTGAATTTGGTGAGTGCTGTGCAGCAGCCGCTCCCTCAGACTTCCTGTTCCTGTTATGCCAGTGTGTGTCACTGTTTGTATACTCTTGGATGGGTTGTGCTGAAATGTGATGTTGTTCTGGGACGCTGATTCAACGACAAAGTGTGTGTGTGTGTGTGTGTGTGTGTGCGTGTGTGTGTGTGTGTGTGTGCGTGTGTGTGTGTGCGTGCGTGTGTGTGCGTGTGTTAGTCTCCTGCTTTATATCATTATTATTTTAGCCTTTGGCCTCCATTATCCCTCAATGGTTTGGCCTCCAATTTATTTACAAGTAAGAATGAGTTATTGTCATTTTACAGGTTCTAGATGAAGTCAGTTGCGGTGGCATAGAAAAAGCTATAGCGATGCATATCTATGAGGATGATGAACCTTAAACTCAACGCCATCATAATGACTGATTCAACATAACGGACATCTAAGATATACCTGAGTCTCTAATGCCGAACAATCAAAAATGCTTTAATAGGACCGTGGTTTCATACTTGAGGCTGAATCTGTATGTCACTAGTGCAAAGTGCAAAAAATGTCAGAATAAATAGTAAATGGACATGAACAAAGGTCAAGAACTGTAGGAGGAACCCAGGGGGATTATTAACAAAGATCTATTAAAAGTATAGAGGTGTTTTGAAGCAGGGAGCAATGTATTTAACCCTGCCAGGGATGGGGATGTAATTGATGGTAGACATCTAATTAAATGGTACTTAGCTGTTATTGTCCTTGTCTTTTAAAAGGGTGAGCATATTTTATCTTAAATAGATGGACAGGATCTCCCAGTTCACGTCAATATGGTCACTTCCTGTAAAAGGTAGAGGATGTGGTCTATTATGCTTTAGAAATTAAAGAAATACAGAATAGCTTTAGCAAACCAAGTCTGATGCACTTAATTAAACTTATATTCCTGTCTCTGGATCAGACTGAAGTGACGTTTCCTTTCATTTCTCCAAACCAAACTAAATATCTGATCTTTGCTTAGTGTATTCTTGATGCCTCCAGGGAGTTTGCCCCAGAGTTGGGGAGTTGTGGCATCAACAAGTCCTCTCCACGCCACGTCTTTCTTCAGCTCATCAACTAAACCAGGTGATTTCAATCAGCACAGTGAATGAACTTGGTTCAGTTGCTGAGTAGAATAAACATGGAGATGACTAGCTAATGCCACAATTTCCATCTCTGGTTTGACCCACATATTTGTTGTGTTTAACATAAATCTGTTTCAACCAAAGTTCAAAAACGTTCCAGTACTGTAAATAGTCAT